CAACTATCAAATGACAAACTTCAAGCTTCTTTTTTGGTAGTGTATTTGTTAACATATCTAAACCATTATGATCAGTGTGAATCTTTTCAAGTTCAAACAAGTTATCATTGAGAGTATCTTTTAACTAATGGTACCTCGCATCAATGTGCTTTGATCTTGAATGAAAAATAGAAATCTTACAAAGGTGAATTGCACTTTTATTATCATAAAATATCACATAGTGTTGCTGCTTAAAATTGAGTTCCTGTATGAACTTTTTCATCCACGACAACTCCTCACATGCTTTGGTGGCTGTAAATACTCAACCTCTGTTGTAAAAAGTGCAATGCATTTTTGTAGTCTCGATTGCCAAGATGAGAATGTAATTAAATAATCCAAAGTAGACTTTCAGGAAATCAACATCTCCTACCATATCTAAATCAGTGTAGCCAACTAGTACTAGTTTATTATTTCTAAAAGTGAGTCTCAAGTCGGGAGTGCCTCATAGATATTTCACGATCCACTTAATTGCATTCCAATGCTATTTTCCTAGATTTGATAAAAAACAGCTAACAATACCAACTACATAGGCTATATCTGACCTAGTACATACCATTGCATACATCAAACTTCCTACTACTGAAGCATACATAACTCTTCTCATGTCTTCCTTTTCTTTAGTTGTAGAAGGGCTATAATTAATACTTAGCTTAAAGTGAGTAGCAAAATGAGAGCTAACCACTTTGGCTTGATCTATATTAAACCTTTCAAGTATATTTTCAATATAGTGCTCTATGATATGTGCAATTTCTTAGTTGCTCTGTCTCAATAATTTTGAATTCCAAGAATTTGTTGTGCTGTTCCTAAGTCTTTCATAGTAAATAATCTACTTAATTGCTTTTTCAATTGGTCAATTCTATAAGCATTATTACCAATAATCAACATATCATCAACATAAAGTAATAATATGATAAAATCATCATCAGAGAATTTTTGCACAAACACACAATGGTCAAAAATAGTTTTTCAGTTACCTTGCTCACCCATAACTGACTAAAACTTCTTATACCACTTTTCGGTGCTTGCTTCAACCCATAAAGATTTTTCTTCAGCTTGCACACAAAATCTTTTTTTTTTTGTTATTATGAAACCTCCTGGCTACTCTATGTAAATATTATTGTCCAAGTCACCATGGAAAAAAGCAATTTTAACATCCATCTGCTCAATCTCCAAGTCAAGATTAGCTGTTAAACCCATAACCACATGAATATATGACATTTTAACAATAGGAGAAAATATTTTATCAAAGTCAATACATTTCTTTTAACTGAATCTCTTAACAACCAATCTAGCTTTGAAACATGGTTGTGAAGTGTGTTATTCTTCTTCACTCTATATACCTATTTATTATTCAAAGTTCTTTTTCCCGTAGGCAGTTTTACTAATTTAAAAGTATTATTTTCATACAAAAACTTTAGCTTATCTTGCATGGCATCAATCCACTATTTCTTATGTTCATCTTTTATGGTCTCTGCATAACATTCGGGTTCTCTCCTATCAGTTAGTAATACATACTCATCAACATAATATCGTGTGAAAGGCTGTCGATCTCTAGTAGACCTCTTGAGTGAAACTTTTGATAAAACCTCTAGTTAAACCTTTGATACTAATGATTGTTCATAGGTATCATCACCCACCTTAACTTATGTAGGATCGATATCCACATCACCTGTATTATAGTGGTTATCCTTAACTTCTTCAATCTCTATAGGTATATCTATTAGAGGAACTAGATTCAAGTTAATCAAATTATCATTGCATCGTAAAACTGATGTATCAATCTTCTGAATATCTTGTATAGTTTGGTCTTCAACAAAAATAACATCTCTACTTTTCACAAGTTTCTTTTGCATTGAATCATAAAACTTGTAGCCAAACTTATCCTGACCATAACTAAGGAACACACATTGTCCAGTATTGACATCAAGCTTTGACCTCTTATATTTGAGAATATGCACAAAAGCCTTACATCCAAAAGTAAGTAAATGATCATATGACACATCTTTACTTAACCAACCTCTATCTGGAATATCAAAATCTAAATAAACACATGGTGAAAATTTTAAAACATGTACAACTATACTCAAAACCCCATCCTAAAAAGATTTTGATAATTGTGCTTGTGAAATTAACATTTCACTATTTTTATTAATGTCATGTTTATCCTCTCAACTAACTTATTTAGCTAAGGAGTTTTATGAGGTAACCTTTGATGTCTAATACCCCGTTGTCTGTAATATTTATAAAAAAGTCTAGTGTGCTCACCCTCATTATCAGTCTTTATGTATTTTAATTTCAACCATGTTTATCTTTCAACTAAAGCATGGAATTGTTTAAATACATCTAACACTTGGTCTTTTAATTTCAAAGCATAAGCTTATATCTTAATTGAATGATCATCTATAAAAATTATAAAATAGATGAAACCACCAAGTGTTTTTATTCTCATAAGATTACAAACATCAAAATATATCACAAACATCAAAATATAATAAATCAAATATACCTGGTTTTCTTGATGGAGGGGATGTCTTGAATGTAACTCTGATTTGTTTCCCAGCCAAGCAATGATCACACTTCTTCAAGGATACATTTTTCACTCCAGAAAAAGATTTTTCTTGGCTAAAACCTTTAAACCTTTTTCGCACATGTGACTATGCCAAAGTTTAATTGTATCATTATTATCTACTGCATTGATAACAAAATTAGATACCTTTACTTACATCAAATAAAATGACGAGAGCTTCATACCCGTAGCTACAACTATAGAACCTTTAATGAGGTTTCATTAACTATCACAAAAAGTGTTACAAAACCCTTCATCATCAAGCTTCCTTACAAAAATCAAATTCATGTAAATATCAAGAATATGTTTAACATTTTTCAAGACCAACGTAGTGCCATTATTGGTCTTTAAGAACAAATCTCCCATACCAATGGCTTTAGTTGAGCCATCATTACTCATTCTAACACTTTCAAAATCACCAGGTGTGTAAAATGAAAAGTAGTCTTTCTAAGATGTAGCGTGAATTGTGGCACCAGTATTAATCACCCAATTAGTCTCATGGTATGTAAAATTAACAACATTATCATCATATGAAATAAGAAAGTCATCTGTGACAGTAGTAACTTTATCAGTATCATTACCATCACCATTCTTATTTTTCTTATCTTTGTCACTATTGTTGTCTCTTTTTAACTTTTGACAATATTTTTTTATATGCATTTTTAGACCACAATAATGACATTCAACTTTGACAAATTTGTTGGACTTACTCTTACTTCTGTCTCTATTCTTCAGACATTTACTTTTACTCATTTTCTTATTTTTGTGACTAAAACGTCAGACTGTGAAGAGGAATCCTGTGACTTTCTTGTCAATTTTTCATTCAAAACACCACTATTAGTCAAATCTATAATAATAATACAATTTGGGGTTGAGTTAGATAACATTGTTCTAAACGTCTCTTATGAGTTCGATAATGTACCAAAAAGTTATAAACCTTGTATCCTATCTTTAAACTTGAGATTTGTGCCAACCAACTGATTAATAATACTTTGATATGCATTCAAGTGATCTATCATATGAGTTTTATCTTGATTTTTCAAATTCATTAACTGTTTAATTAAAAGTAGTTTATTTTTTAGCATACAAATCCTTAAGTGTGCTCTAAAGAGTGCGTGCATGTGTTTCTCTACTAACATAGTTTAAAATATTATCATTTACCCACTGTCTAATATAACTATATACCTGTCGATGAAACAAATTTCATTCTATATTTGTTTTTAGTTCCAGGTTTTTCAGTGGCAAACACTTCAAATAAAGTAAGTCTTCAATCTTTCATTTCTACACATGGTAATTTGAACCATTCAAATTAATCATTGTACTTGTATTGGCTTCCATTATTCAACACAAGGCATAAATCAAATAGCTTGAGCTCTGATACTACTTTGATGGGATAAAATAATCTCAAACAATATTTAAACCGAATATGTCACGCAATGAAAAAAATTAAATTATCTCTCTTTTGTGTGAATCTTGCAAGAATCAAACAAATAAAGCTAACAAATAAATCATTAAACCACAAGCATAAGGATACATGAAAAACTTTTCCAAAAAGAGGAGTAAAAATCACAGGCAGTAAAAAATAATTTTCACTATCAAAATAATGAGAATACAAAGTTCTTTATAGCTAGAATAAAAGGTATACAACCATAATATCCCAAGATTAGACAATCTTGGTAAAGAAATAATCTTACAAGAGAAAATTACAGAAGTCTTAGCAAATTTAAGAATTAACAAATACTCATGAAATCAGTAGGTAAAAAACTTAAAACCCGATCTCTACTGTTTAGACTAAAAATTAATGAATTATAAATACATTGATAAAATTTTAGCTCAATCAGATAATAAATTGACTTTGATTAAACTACCTGATCAAAACTGCATTAAACCCTCTTTTTTCCCTATCTTACTCCCACATTCTCTCTTTTTTTTTTCAATCACATAAGGGTTTAAAATATTATAACAAAGCATGAAATGACCAAAAAATCTTTGATGAATGAACTTTCGTTTTAGGCCAACTCGACGTGAAGGAAACTAAGCCCAACACAAATAGTCCTCGTATACATACATATGACATAATTTTCACAATCAATGAAACCACGTGATATCAAATAATAAACTAAACATATAATTAGAAAAAATTTAATATTGCATCCATTCCGTAAATATTAATGTTTCGTGTTTGAAAAAGTAAAAAAAATATTTTTATTTTTTATTATCTTTAATTATAATTAATTCTTTATATCTGTTTCTGTAGTATTATCATTGAGACATTTAACAAGACGGACTAGGGAATTTAAGACTCGTTTATATATAGAGATACATTTCCTCACTTCAAAGCTCACCGAAACTAAAGCTCACTGTCACTACAGTTATTGTATCATTACTCTACCACTACTGCTACCATTACAATATGTCCACCCAAACTCTCAACTCTCAAATGCTCGGTCCCAAGGGCCGAGCCGTTGGTGGCACCGAGCACAACTGGTGCCGTGCGGTGGTCGGTGGCACTGGCATAGCTGTCTTGGCTATCTTTTCTTCCAAAAATCCCGACATTTCACGCCTCCAAAATGCCCTTCATAAGCTACAAAATTCCCATCCGATTCTTAGGTCTAGACTCCATTATAATCCTAGTGCAAATGCTTTCTCCTTTGTTACGTCTCCTTCTCCTTTCGTGCAAATCAAGTCCTTTAACCTTTCCACAACTTGTAACATCTTTGAAAATTTTTGTAACCAAGAAGATAAAAATATGTCACCCCTGCAATTGATTCTTGAACATGAACTTAACCAAAATGTTTGGAATAGTTCTCATCCGAATAACACTTCATTTAGCAACCAAAATGACTTGTTTTTTGCTAGTGTTTATGGTTTGCCTACTGCAAGGTGGGCGTTGGTGCTCCGCCTACATGCCGCCGCATGTGACAGGACCACGGCGGTGTCGTTGCTGAGAGAGTTGTTGACGTTAATGCGTACTGAAGAAGAGGAGACAGGGTCGCAGCAGGGTCAAAAAGAAGTTATGATGAACAAAGGAGAGGTTAGCTTGGCGATTGAAGATCTTATTCCTAAAGGGAAAGCCAAGAAAACTCTTTGGGCACGGGGAGTGGACATGCTGGGCTACTCTGTTAATTCTTTAAGGCTGACAAATTTGAAGTTCAAAGATGCAAAATCTCCCAGATCCAGTCAAGTAGTGAGGTTGCTGATCAGCCCTGATGACACTGACAGGATCTTGACTGTAAGTAATCTGAGCACTCAATTTTAAGTTTTAAAAATTTCCAACTTTTGGCATGAAAAAAGGCCTTTATTGAGACTCCATTGAAAATTTCAGGGTTGCGAAGCTAGAGGGATTAAGTTGTGTGGAGCATTAGGAGCAGCAGGGCTTATTGCCGCACACAGTTCTAAATGCTTTTCAGATCATCAAAAGAAGAAGTATGGAGTTGTAACTCTCACCGATTGCCGCTCAATTCTTGAACCTCCTCTTTCCAATCACAATTTTGGTAAGCACTTTATAAAATTTTATCGCCAAAAACGTCTTGAAAATCTTCCTTTAAGCACAATTGGATTCTTTTTTTTTACAGTTAACTCCAATATTCTTACCTACCAGCTCTTTGGTCGATTGGATTCTATTTGAAATGACTTTAACTTGTCAAAATCAAAACTTTCAGGTGATCAGTTGCATTATCATAGACTTTTAGACTCGGAATAAACCTCTTTCGTACACTTTCGCATCTTTTTTGTTTTTTATTTCAATCATAAATTTGGTCCTGAAAAGAGGTATTTATGCTGGGGGTTGGCCCTGGTATATTTCTGGAGAAATCAATCTGATGAGAATTCATAGCTGACCTTACCAAGTACCATTTTTTCCATATTTGTTTGATACAAAACCAAAAACACTGGTCAATTGCTAGAACATGCAGTAGTACAAGGCAATGCTGCCATGTTCAATGGTTCAACTTTTTTATTAGGAGAAAAAAACCCAACACTGAACCAATGTTCCAAGTCTTAAATTCCATGCCAATTAAGGCAAGTGATTTTCTTGACGCAACTCTTAAAATTTTGTAGGATTTTACCACTCAGCTGTTCTAAACACGCATGTCATTAAAGGAGGAGAGAAGCTTTGGGAGTTAGCAAAGAAAATGTACACAGCATTTACAAACTATAAGAACTGCAACAAGCACTTGTCAGACATGGCAGACCTGAATTTCTTGATGTGCAGGGCCATGGAAAACCCTGGCTTGACTTCATCGTCATCCTTGAGGACATCTTTAATATCAGTGTTCGAGGATACGGTGATTGATGAGTCTAATGACCAGCAAAAACAAGTTGGCCTAGAGGACTACATGGGCTGTGCTTCTGCTCATGGCATCGCCCCGTCCATCGCGATTTTTGACACTATACGTGACGGACGGCTGGATTGTATTTGCGTTTATCCTTCACCACTGCATTCAAGGGAGCAAATGCAGGAGCTGGTTGATAGTATGAAGTGCATTCTTGTGGATGCAGGGAACAATAATAATGCTGATGAAAATGAGAGCTAGAGGCTCAGGGCAGTTGGCCTTTCGGTGAAGTGAAACCATTGATGGATGTTGCTGTGGCCCAATCACTATAGGTTTCTTAAAAGCTTAAGAACTACCCGTAGACTCTAGAAAATTGGCAGCTTGGTTTCTTAATTGTGGTTGGTTTGGGGAGTTGTCCCCATTTACAGTGTTCCCCACTTGGTTACTCTACGTCAAATCTTCAGATCAATTCAATAGGATTTAGTTTATGTTTTTAGCCAAAAAGGAATATGATATTATCTATTCTAGCATTTTATTTTAATTTCGTTTTTGGGTATGAGACTTTTTGATAGTAATCAGATTAAGTCTTTACTAATTCAAATCGAATTTTATAAAAAAATAATTTTTTTTTATATTTATAATATTTAAAATTAAAATTTTATTTTAAAAAAGTCAAATTCCTTAAATATTCGAACTAATAGAAGTTGATAATTTTATTTTAGTTTCAATGCTATGTCAGTCTATCATCACTCTCTATTAGATAACTTGATTTTTAGCAAGGAAATATATATATATATATATATATATCATCAATAGTTAAATCAAATATTCATATTTATAAACATTCAACCGATAATGGAGATTCAAATATCAAAATATCCACTCTTGATCTTTCCTTAAACTTGTGTTTGATAAAATTAAAAAGAAAAAAGTATTTAATTTCAAAATCTTACCTTTCATAATCTTGAAATTAATCGTCTTTAAAATATTATCAACATTTATTTCTAAAAAAATTATATTATTTATTTATTCATTAACAATACAACGTTAAAGTCAAATCAGATTTTTATTTTTGAGATGAAAGGAGTACTGTTAACATGTGCATGTAAGTATTGGTTAATGTGATATTTTAGGGGAAAAAAAAACACAGTGTTTGGTTGTTTGATTGTTGTACTATAAGTAAAATGTTCATAAATTTGTTTTTTATGGTTTTCATGTCATTTATGAAAAATATGGTTCAATTTGGTTTAAATGGTATCATTCAGTATTCTTATGAATGGTTTAATTCATAGTAATGGACGTAAAGAAAAAGGTTGGAGTTGGTATTTTATTGACATGATTAAATTAAACAAAGATCAATAGTAAATTTGTGAAACTTTTGAAGTTTGAATTTTGATTAATAACATTGTTAGATATTGAGAGATGGGAGCTTTGGAATCCAACTATTTGAAAAAAGAAAATAGATGATAATAAAACCCTGAATTTTTAATTTTAATAATTATAATTTAAATATACGTCATTTTAAATATAAAAGAAGTAATGGTTTGATATATTATTATTAATATTTGATTTGAAAGTTAAATGTAATGAAATTCAATAATATCAAATTACGATCTAAAACAATTTTGATCTTAATTTCAAAAGTAAAATAAAAGTCATCTTTTTTTATTTTTTGTTTATTCGTGATATCTATTAAAGTAAATTATATTACATCTAATAATATATAATTTTTTATAATTTTATATTTAAATTAAATCCTTCGATTTATTATTAATTGATTTTAAATTATATGCTTAATATAATATCAAAATTAAAATTTTTTTTGTTATCATTTTTAAATTTATCACGTAATAAATTTTTTGTATCTTTGTTACATATGATGAAGGTATATTAAAATGAATTATTTTATATCTAATATTCAATTTATTATAATTTTATATTTAATTTAAATTTATTTACTTATCATCAATTAATTTTAAATTTGATCCTTAATAATGCCATTATCCTTTATCCAATATCATTATAACAAGCTATTGATATTGTCATAATGGAAAAAAAAGTACTGGTCCTACTCCTTGTCAACATAATAATAGTGTGGTTAAATGCCAAAATTTTGGACATCAAAGAAATAAGAGCAGGTCTACCATTTATTTTTCTTGGAGTAACGTGGGAGAAATCAAATTCCAACTCGGTCCCATCACTTTAGAGTAAAAGTCCAAAATTCTGTTTAAAAACGTTTCTCAACGCTGACAACCACAATTTCCGTTTTTGTAAACGGTTGCGTGAGTTATTAGTAGATCGGTGAATTTTTATTTTATTTTATAAAATATGGCAAGATTTAAGTTGAATTAAAAGTTATTTAATGGTATAAATTGAGCATAGTGAAATGTTAATTTAAAATTTTAAAAAATTTTAATATATATTTTTAAATTAAAAATTATTAATTAATCTAATATTTAAAAAATTATTTGTTTAATACATATATTTAATCATATTAAAAATAAGTAATACATTAATTCATTAATTAATAAATTTATAATTTAAATATTATATTAAAATTTTTAAAAATTTAACTATTAAATTAAATATATGACTAAAACTAAAAAAATTATGAGATTAAAGTTGCATTTAGTTTCAAACGTACTTCTAATGGAGATGCGTTTGCTATGAAAATTGTGCTGAATGCATCAAACATCTATTTGGATGTATAATTTGAGATGCAAAAACAAGTTTTTTTCAAACAGAGATTTTAAATCCAGCTAACAAACATACAAATTTTTTTTTATCCTTTTAATTTAACTTATTCTCTTCCTTTTTTATTTTAATTTTGTTAAAATATTACAAAATAATTTATAATTTAATATAATAAGAAATACTATTTAATATATTATTGTTTTTTAATTATTTATTAATAGAATTTTGTATTTATCATAAAAATATTTTTATTATTTATTAATTTTTATAAATTAAATAATTTAAACTTTTTATTTTATATAAAATTTAAATTAATATCTTTATAAATCATTTTATAACTCATTATAATTCATTCACTTATCATTATATTTATATTCAAACAAATATTTATATTATTAACTTTAATTATATTACTATAATAATTAATTTTACCTTTACTATTATCTTTAATATCATCCAAATTAATCTCATCGACGTACGTCCCCTAACTCTAAAAAAAGTTTAAGCGCTAAATATCGAATCTAAGCCTTGAAAAGTCCACTTCTTAAAGGGGTAGAGTGAAATTTAGGCTAGGCCTCATGTTAACAATTTCCACTCTTCATTCCTCAGCCATTCATTTTACATCATTCTCCAACCTTTCTTAGCTTTTTTCCAATAGGATGTTTGAATCTGACCAAAACCCAATTCCGAGGCCAGCTGGTAGCACCGAGTATTGCTGGTGCAGAGCCGTGCCTGGTGGCACTGGCATCACAGTCTTGTCCCTCCTCCTCTCTAATCCCCCAGATATCCCGCTATTCGAAGCAGCCCTTTCTGCGCTCCAAGTTTCCCATCCCATCCTTCGTTCCAGGCTCCACTTTGACGCTTCCAGGAACAATTTTTCTTTCATAACAGCTCGTAAGCCTCATGTTAAAGTTCAATCCTTTGATCTCCCATCAACTTCCCACATTCTCCAAAGCCTATCAGATGATTCCAACATTGATTCGCACCAGTTTTTACTCGAACATGAAATGAATAGGAACTCATGGGAACACACTGATGATGACCAAGCTGACCAGGATATTTTTTTTGTCAGCCTTTACACTCTAAGTGAGACAAGATGGGTGGTGGTGTTCCGGCTGCACACGTCAGCTTGTGACCGAGCTACGACGGTAGCTCTGTTGAGGGAATTTTTGGAGTTGGTAGGTGGTGGAAGAGCCAAGGCGGAGGAGATAGGGAAGGGAAATGAAGAGAAAGAATTAGAGTTGAGTTTGGGAATTGAAGATTTGATTCCCAGCGGGAAAGCTAACAAGCCTTTTTGGGCACGTGGGATTGACATACTTGGCTATTCGTTGAACTCTTTCAGGTTAGCGAATCTGAACTTTGTTGATGCTAATTCGGCTAGATGTTCTCAGGTTGTGAGGTTGCAGATGAACCCAGATGAGACTGAAAGGCTTGTTGCTGTAAGTGACAAACTGTTTTCTTCTCTGTTTCATTTTTGTTCTTGTCTTTTTTGTGTCTTCCCTTCATTGAATCCAACTGCAAGTCTGCAACGTTGTAATTTCAAGATTTATATGATTATACTGTAACTTTGCATAACTTCTTGTCACCACTAATCACTAAAGTCGAGAAACTTGTCATGTCTCTGCTTTAATCAAAAGGGTGTCTTCAGAATCACGAGTTTCATGACATCAATTATTTCATTCCAAGTCTTTGCTCTCACCAAGTCGTTGCGACTGGCCCCAAGGTTAAATATTTATTGCCAGGCCCAGAAGATTAGTTTCAGACTTTCAGCTTTCTATATTTCAGTATTGTTTTGTACGAGTGGTAGGCCTAGTCACTCAGGAAAAAAGGAACCCATTAAAGTGAACAAAAAGGTCCAAAGAGAGCCGGATCGTTCTTAAGGATCAAGAGGTGCCATTACTTTCGTCTTGGTTCTAATTTCCCATTCCTAAAAATGATTTCCTAATGGGAAAGAGTAGAGTCGGTATAACGACCGAGAACCGTAGGGCTAAGGGCTACTCTGTACATTTTCTGGTTGTGATATGTGAAAGTGACAAGTTCCAAAGCCAATCGAAGAAAGGGTAGAAAATGCTGGCCCGTTATCACAATTTACAATCACAACATATGGGCTATGATGTGGATGGGATTTTGGGCTGCTCAAGAAAAAGGATGTGGGCCTTGTGTCTAAGATTATTCTTTAGTTTGATAAAATCATGATTTATGGGTTAAATTGTTTTAAAATTTACATTATTTGCAATTTACAGGGTTGCAAATCAAGAGGTATTAAACTCTGTGGAGCCCTGGCAGCTGCTGGTTTGATTGCAGCTCGGTCCACTAAAGACTTTCCTGATCAGCAAAGTGAAAACTATGCTGTTGTAACCCTCATTGACTGTCGGTCCATTCTTAACCCAGTTCTCAGTAGCAATCATCTTGGTAAGTCCGAGTTCATTCCCATAATTATCATCCCAATCCTATCAAGTTTTGAGGAAAAAAAAAAGTGATTAAACGTCATAATTATATATATGTGATCTTTTTTGATTCAGGATTTTACCATTCTGCCATCTTAAATACATATGACGTGACTGCCAATGAAGAAGTATGGGAGTTAGCCAACAGATGCCACTCGGCCTTTTCCAACGCCAAGAACAACAACAAGCATTTCACGGACATGAATGACGTAAATTTCCTCATGTGTAAGGCCATTGACAACCCTGGATTGACTGCATCATCATCTATGAGAACTGCCTTCATGTCAGTTTTCGAAGACCCCGTGATTGATGAATCCAACAAGCTGCATGGAGAAATTGGCCTAGTGGATTATGTTGGGTGCTCTTCTGTTCACGGTGTTGGTCCAACCCTTGCCATATTTGACACCATACGAGATGGTTGTTTGGATTGTGCATGCGTTTATCCGGCGCCACTGCACTCAAGAGAACAAATGCAAGAACTGATTGATTCGATCAAAAGAATTCTTGCGGATGGTAGTATCAATAATGTAGAGAATGATAGCTAGATCTTTTGTTCGGTGAACATTGTGCTCACGAACAATTTATTTACTAGCCAATAGCCATCATATATGAAATATAAATGAACTAGCAAAACTGTCAATTCATAGATTTCTACAATACAGGTGTATCAGGCAACTTGGCAGTTGGGAGATGTAGATTCGGATTCTTCCAAGCTAAAGCCTCTTTACTTGCACACCAAATAAGCTTATTTCATCGACTTGAAGAGGTTTCCTCTACTTGTTGCCCTGTATCATGTTTTTTACTTTTAAACAAAATGAATTTGTTTACCAAGTTATTTCTACGCTAGAACCATGTTGCTGATAATTAACTTGCCTGACCATTTATTTCACGGCTTTGTTCACCATCCGGAAGAAGCATACTGGAAACTACTAACCGATAATGTTATTAAAATAGATTATCTCACATCTAATAAATTTTTAATATTTTATAATTTTATATTCGGGTTAAATTTTTTTATCTATTGATAGTAAATTGAATGTTTAATATAGTATCAAAATTAGGCTTTTTTTTCATTGTTTTTTTTTAATTTATCAGTTTTTATCATTTTTTTTACACGTAATGAAAATTTGTTAAAATAAATTATTTTATATTTAATAAAATTTTAATATATTATAATATTATATTTAAATTAAATATTTTTATTTATTATTAATTAATTTTAAGTTAAATGCTTTAGCTACTGCATACTGCAGGAAACTACTGCAGGAATTGATGCATCGTAAATTTATACTTCTAAAAGCCAAAAAACTGTTCATTTGGAATGGCTTATTTCGTAGTTTTCAGCTTCAAGTTTATCCCCACTGTGGCCATTTTATGTGGCTTTGGCACATAGCCCGTGCTGCACGTCCGTGGACTTTCAATGTCTTCGACAAAAGTGGATATCAATCAGTCAAATGAAGAAAAAACAACCTTGGAATATGGTAATATTTTAATATTTTTAATTTCTAATCATATTCAACAGAATGTTCTGCATTTTGGATGCAGATTTCTTGATATGGTTGTTCCTTAAACCAAATTATTACCTCTAGAGCCAAAAGAAAAGATTGGGAGGAGAATGTGGTTTGTATTCCGATCCAGAAGTTAAATGCAGCAAATGTGCATATCCCTAAACATAAAACTTTGAAATGTGAATTTAAAATGGTTATATTGGTTTGGTCTGAAGAAAGTTTGAGAAATATCAGTGTCAAACTATTGACTTGAATTGCCACAATTACCTGTCTCTGATTTGGTAGAGATGGAGGAAATAGAAAGGAAGAAGCAGAGAAAGTGGAAAGGGATATATTCCCTTCTTGCGCTTTCAGAAAATGATTTCTAATGGTAATCCAACTAATACTTTTCTGGCATCACATTTTAAGTTGTTGCTGCAAATATTTACAAGAAGAAAAACCAGGACTGGGGAATTAATTCACCTCATGTTCTTTTGAACTTGATTCAATCTAATCTACCTAGGAAAGTTATTAATATGATCAAAATCAGCACTGCAGCAGAGCTGGATGTGTATCATACAAGGGAACTACAAGTCTGATGCATTCATGGAACTATAAGCTCAGAGTATAGGTTAAAGATTATAGTTCCCTAGTACTATAAGAGGCCAACTTTTTTTTTTTTTTTCTAAAGAAACTCTTCAACTAGTTTTCCAAAATCAAACTTCCCATTACAACATTCTACAGCATTCACAACTTCTTGAAATGCAGGGACACTGCATGGAACAATTAGCTTATTCCTTTGCTCAAAACCATATTCATTGTATGACTTCTCCAGCAACATCTTGAAGAGCGGATGAGACAGGAAGCTGGTTGGCACTACAAATCTTTCTTCCTCCTCTCCTACATATATAGCAAAAAATCCAGACGGGGTTAAGGCTGTAGGAGACATTTGCTCAAATTCCCTTAGCAAGCTTTCATATTGTGATTGCTCTCGATCACCTCCACCCATGCATTTCACCTTCTTGGCTAACTTCTTCAAGCAAACCATCTTTTTTCCCAACATGTTTTTTCTTTTGTGTTTGAAACTTGCAAGAAAGGGAGAGCAGTGAGGTAAGATAAAGAAGTGGGGAGCTAGAAGTAGAGGTGGTGTCAATTTCTATTGCTTAATGAGTGGGGGGGAGAATTTTATTGTGGTTACAGAGGGAATGTCTCAGAATTGGTCTATCTTTTGACTAATTAATTGGGATTTGGGAATATGTGGACATGGTTTCTAACTTGTAAAAAAATTCTGATATTTACTTTTGACTCGTCAATAGTTAAACAGGAACCAAACTTTAGACTTCAAAAAATGTTAGAGATCAATGGTAAGGTGCATCCCCATGTGGCCATGTTGAATTTTGATTGATAGGACATTATGCACCACATTTGTTGGTAAAACATTGTTGGGTGGCTAAGAATCTAAAAAAAAGAGTTTGGTTTTCTATCCCTCAGAGTGGTAAAAGAGCTAAAGATGCATAAAATCCATTAATATTGATGGAATAAATAACCCTTTAAAGAGTATTAACTAATCAACTGCTAATGAATCATTTCTTTATTTGAATAAAATGCCAACCACAAATCATTGTGATGATTCTTGATTATCAACAAAACAGCAGCAAAATCTTCAAGAAAACAAATGAACCACTTCTATCTTATTCACTTTTTTTTTTTAAGGTGGGAATCTCAAATCAGTTTCTGTTTAGTGTGAGTCATGATGAAATATAATCCATTCCAGGATTGAATCAAACACTAAAGTTAAATGGGGAATTAGGGATAGATATTCTTCAATAGTGAACTTTACCATTTCTGTTTGTCTTGTAGATAAGCAGAAAAAATTTCTATTGACAAGGAGAAAAGTTGGTGGAAGGTCTTAAATTTGGTGGGTTTCCATGAAGTGGGAATTAAGCCAATTAATTAATCAAATCAAACATAGTCAAACACACCTACTATTTTCATTTCTGGACTAGATATTCTAACCCCAAAATGGGTGAGGAGCAAAGGGCAAAAAATGTAGCTCTTCACATATGGCTGAAAGCAGGTTCGGCCATTATCTTCTTCTTTTTCCATTTTTTTTTCAATGTCAAATGAGAGACAAGAAGGATTGGAATGACAAAAAGAGAAGAAAGTTGTAGAAGGGTTGAGCGTTGACAATTAGCAAATGGGATGCTTCCACCTACAAAAAGATATGATTTTAGGCCTTGTGCAGTGGGGGAAGATAGAACAGGCTGGGCCAACACGAAGTAGAAAATGAGTTAGATGACAAACTGAGTTGACTAAAGTTAAGGCAAAACCATAACTTCAAGGACTAAGGTTATTCTTCATGGCCCATGATCATGCTCTACACGAAAGGCACGACCACATCCACGGAAAAAAAAATGGAAGCTTCTTTGAATTTGAAAACTCGTTTATTTTGTCCAGAGCAAAACCAATCCAATTCCAATCCGTCCATGGTTTTCAATGGTTTCTATCTATTCCCTAGACCATGCTCTTCATGTATATAAGAAAAAAAAAATTGTTTATTAATATAGCATAAACAGCAAACCTATGTTCATGTTTTTGAGCTGGTCTCATGTTTCCGAATTCAGATTTTTATGTAACTTGACGATCAATAATAATCTTGCCATGGAAAGCATGTAATCATCGGTCAAATTAGGAGGATTTGGAAATTTAGGAAGATTAGAGTGAGAGTGTGGTGGGTCATCTTGTGGAATTTGTTCACCATTACAGGATGGGAAACGGAGAGACGCAGTATTAGAACAAAGATCATCAATTACTATTATTAGTCAGTAAAGTAGACCATTTGTAACGCTTCTTGACTCAAAGTCCTCGATTTGGAACTTGAAACTTTTGAGCACTAGTAAAGATAATATTATGTTAAAAATTTTAAACAATTTTTTTAAGGAAACAAAAGTTTTCTTAATTCTTATCAAAAGAAGGTTTTTCGACTATTATGTGATATTATAATCTGTTAATTGGATTTTTATTTTTTTTTAATTTTAAACAATTTTAAATAAGAAAAACAATTTTTTTTTTTAATATTTTAAGAATATACTCCTTTATATTATAGTTTTAGACAACGCAAACAAAATCTTTAAATCAAATATTGGACAAAAATCAGTTAAAATTATATAAATAAAATTACAATTATAAAATTATATAATTTTAGAAAAAAAATACAGCCATTAATTAAATAACTCCATCATATAACATATAGTTTGTGTGTAAATCTAAAAATCAATTAGTATTATTATCATATCATTTTTTTAAAAAACTTATAGAGTTGAGTTTGTTAAGTGTTTAACTTTGATATAAATGATAAATCTAAAAAATATTTTTATTTTGATACAAAAAGAGTAATTTCGCATTAAAAGCATAAAAAAGATGTCATTTATTAGTCTTTTTTAAATGTTAATGATTTAATAAAAATAAATTAAAATTTACAAGGAAAATGCTCACAAATAATGTGTTAAAATTTTAGCCCTTTGTTTGGCATTTATTCTCGATCAAAGTTCCTGTGGGACCATTCAAGTCAAAGGCTGCTTTGTCTAGTGGAATGATTCTCGCTTCCGGTGCGAGAGGTCCCGAGTTCGATTCAAGCAGCACCCCAATTGACCTCAAATCCATTTTGTTTTTCACGCGTGGGCTTCCAAAATCGCCTCATGTTTAAGCCCAGGCCCTTCAAATTTCTAGGGTTTTTAATTTTGATTCTGAGAATCAAAATTTCAAATCCCTTTCCTCCTCCCCAAATCCTACAGTCCTCGCACTCGCACTTAGCAGTAGACCAAATTTCTGTCACAATGAGCAGATCTGGCCAGCCTCCGGATCTCAAAAAGTAAGCTCTTTTGCATACTCTCATTTAAATTTCATTTTTTTTTTAAGTTTCTTTTCCGTCGATTCTTCGATTTCTAATTTCTTTTTATTGGTGGTGTTGCTTATATCAGGTACATGGACAAGAAACTCCAGAGTAAGTTTAATGCTTTGCTATTACTTGTGTCATTTTTATACTACTATTTAGTTAAAGTTAGATTATATTCATTTTTTGTTGCTTGTTTCCAATAGTAGCTCGCTTAAGCCCGAATTCAAATGTCTCGTGCACGATCATCAATGCCTCTTTAAGCTGAGTTGGTTGAGTTAAGTGTTTGGGTAATTTTAACTGAAAGGGTTCTAAATGTAGGTGTAATAGTTCAGTTCTAATAGTAAGCGAATGCCCCTTTTGATTCTCTGCACCTAAATTGTGATTTAAATCTTGGTTTTCTTTGTTCCGTCTTCACGCTTTTTTCTCACTTTGTGAGTTTGTTGTAAGATTTGAGTCGAGACTTTAGACTCGAGGGTGTCCTACTCTATGAAATATCATATTTTGGGTCCATTAGAAGGTCTGTTTCTGGGTTATGATAGTTAAAGACTGTGTCCTATGGGACATGGGATTAGGTGCTCGATTGCACATGAAGGTATTAAGACTTTGCTCCTCTTTTTGAGATGTTCTCACGAGGTTAACAGAACTTGAGCTCATTTTCTGTATATTTTTCAATCTTTTAGACTCTTGTGGATATTGATGGTTCTAAAATTTCATCTACAAGAATCTATTGTATGGATCATAATTGAAGATTGATGAATTCATGAACTACAGTAGATAGTAGATTTAAGTATGCATTATTATGGTATTTCTAATACCTCCATGCCTTAGTGTGTCAGGAATTTGTTGCTTGATGCTGTTAGTTGGTCTTGTAATTTGCACTTTGTAGGCCACTATAAAATATAAAATATAGAAGGGGAAAACCTTGTAATATTTATACATAAAATAAAAACTACTTATTATGGCTTATGAGCTTGCAGATTGTTGATTTACATACATTGCAGATTTGTAGTAGGCATCAGAGGAACCAATTTAATTGTGTGAATTCTATTGGTATTTAATACTGCAGTCAAGCTGAATGCAAATCGGATGGTTGTTGGTACGCTTCGTGGGTTTGATCAGTTTATGAATCTAGTGGTTGACAACACTGTGGAGGTGAATGGCAATGAGAAAACTGACATAGGCATGGTGGTGAGTCTCCTAATTTTTTTTTTCTTTTACGTACCCTGGTCAATGTTTAAATTGTCATTAAGGTATATCCTTTCGTTGTTAGCCTTGTTGTTATTGATGTGAATTTACTGCAGGTGATCAGAGGAAATAGTGTTGTTACTGTTGAAGCACTTGAACCTGTAGGCACAATGCAGTGATTCTGGCTTCTCTTTTGGAAATTTGGAATTCACTTAATGTATCTCTTTAATGCCGTGTTGTTTGGATAACATTGCTTCTAGTCTGCTATTTTGGGATGGGTTATGTTTTGTAATTGAGAATTTGTAGAAGTTTAGATGGATTTCCCTGGTTAATGAAATGTAGAGGATGGTAACAGTGGTATTTATTCTTAATGCTCAGCCCTAGATTGAAGCATGTGGTTCTGCATATGTTAAAGCTTGTTTCTGGTCCTTGATGCACTTTAATGCATTCACTTCTTTTGCCCCTGGAGCTTGGCATTAGATGAATTCCTATCCATAGTTTGATAACACCTTCATTTTTTTTTTCAAAAAAAAAAAAAGGGCTTTTTTGAGGGAGGTAATTGAACTAGGCAAGCTTACCTCCATCTAGCTTATTCAGAAAATAACTACCATTGTCGGTCTCGGAAAATTTTGTTTTCACTAACAGAAAATTTGATAAGTTCGAATCACTAATAAAACTTGAAGTAAATGGAGACTCAGAGATGCTTGTTGTTATTCCATCGTGGGAACTGGAAAGTCCAGCTGTTGGACTTGCACATGGATGGTTTGTTTTGTGAATTGATGAGCAATTTTATCGAAGATGTCTTTGATAAAAAGGAAAATAATAAGTTGTCGTTTAATCGTTTATAGCCGTTGGGTTTTGGCAATTATATTGAGAATCGAACAGCAATTTATCTTTTGTATATATTATTGGTATATTTTCCAAAAAAGAAAAGAAAAAGGGAAGAAACAACCACCCTTGGTAAGCGAAGATAGTTGATTTCCCCTTTCAATTAACGAAAGCATGGGGGTTTAAAAAGCTTATCTTTTCCTTTAAAGGGGCAGCAGCCCTTTCGTTTTCCTCTCCTTGGATAGTAGAATTCAATCTCAACTGTTGCTTGGCACTTACCTTTTAACAAGCATGATTCTACGAAGCCATCTCATTGATGTTTAACAATCACTTGGAAAAGGCCAAAAGGGCAAAGCCGCAAAGGCTGCCATCTTTTTTTGGGTACGAAGTATACAGATGAAGGATGCCCGCGAAGTTGGATTTGAATTTGAAACAGTGAAACTTAATCTCCCAAGGGAAAATATACCGTAGAGTTTTTAACGGGCAGCTTCGCTTAAAGTTTTATTTTTTGCATGCAGCAGCTCTCAACAACTAGTAGTATTAGACAACAGCTCCTTCCCACTTTCATTTTTCTTTTTCCTTTGTTCTTTAGGCTGTCCCTGGGAGTCCTTGAAAAGGCACCAAGGACCCGTTGCTGAGTCCCAACACCCTTTTGACCCTTTTGAAAGGGAAGTGTTTGAAGCTTCATCACAACGGAAAATCAATTATATGGATACAATAACTTAACTCGGCTTTGAAGGGTTGACAGTTATAAAAGGTATATCTATGATTTATATTTACAGCTCATTAAGTGGTGGATCCAAATTTTTTGAGATCATAATGAATCAAACCTCTCAGCGATTGTTGTCTAATCGAAACTGCGAACTTCTCTGTATTTCTTATATGTTTTTCGATTTAATTTAAAATACGTAGAGATCCAAGATATTCTATGAAATATTTCGAAGCATTGCTTTATAAAGTTAAAATGGCACCTTAGTTGTAATTACCCAAAAAAAAAAAAAGCTTTCTCCCAATGAAGAAAATAGGGTTGGTAATCACATCTTTAACTTAATTATGCATAAATTAACTAACCATTATTAACATCAATGTTAGCAAACTTGAACTTTTCTTTTAAAAGCTCACCAATACTTGCTTTTTATCCTGTTCTAATGAACTTGCCTGGTTGCAACTTGGTCAAATGAACAAATCTTCTGGCAGTGATTAATCAAAGAAGGGTTTTTTTTTTGGATAAAAATTTAAAAATAAAAAATTTATTTTATCTTTCAAATCAGAATAAATTATTAATTCATAAAAAAAAAATTTACAAATTTTTTTAAATTTTTTGAATTTTTAATTTTTTTACTAATTAAAAATTATAAAAATTAAATTTTATATACTTTATATTCAAATTTTAAATCTTTAACTACTTGCCTACAATAAATTTTAAATCTATACACTAGCTTCATTGGTTCCTCCTTTGAGTGGTAAACTGAAAGCAAAATGAGGGGACAATTTTGTTGAGTTTTGAGCTGGGGTACCTCAAAATTTTCATTTGCTAGGAAAACTGGTGGGACCCAGAGCCTGACATGATAGAGTTAAACTAAGACTAGGATAAGGGCTCTTTCACATGTCAGAACCAGTTGGATTTAGTAAAGACAACCTTTCTTTATGTTGGGATTGTCTGTCATCTTTGCTTAAAAAATTACCAAATCCTATTTATATATTCAAATTCCCAGATCTTCTAAAATTTTCATTGTTAAGTCTACCAAAATTAGAATGTTCATTGAATCTGTTTGCATTATAATAATTCAAAATAGAAAGTAGAAACCCATACATATTGTCTAAAGATTGATTGGGATACATTGAAATTATAGTATGAACTAAAATGATACACATTATTAAATGAAATTGGAAAAAAATATTAAAGATCTGTTGATAGATATGTTATAGAATATTAAATTTTTAATTCAATAAATATGATCTAATTTCAATTCAAATATAAAATAAAATTACTAAAAAGAAAACTATGTAATCTAATGGAACTGTTCAAATATAAAGGTGTGCATGTAATTATCATATCATCTCTATGATTCCCAAATAATCAAATGTCAAGCTGCTAAAAGAAATGATTCATTATGTGATTAGATGGCAACATATCATTGGCTTTGGAACAAAGACAAACGATAAATTAGTGTGGAGAAGCAGTGCGCCTTTTTGATTATTTTTTTATTGGTACTTACGCCCCTATTTGCTTAAAGATGGGGTTTTGGGGCAAATGTAGCCGGTGCCAGGTTTCTCTCTCCATTTCTTCTCCAAGCCTCTGTCTTCATTTCCTCTAAATTTTGAATCTTTAACTTTGCTTCTTCAATGCTCAAGCCATAGCCAGCCAAGAAAATTAAATTAAAACAAGGAAAAACTGAAAGAAGTGATGATAGTTGCTTCTTACCGTCCAAAATCTTTCCTTCAATCCAACTCTACGTAGACACCAAATCTTGACATCCCATTGTTCCATTAAGTCCTTCCAAAGAAACCAAATTTTCCATAGAAAAGTTTGTTTCTTGTCCCCAGTAAAGGAAAAAAAAAAACACAATGACTGAAGTACTCCAATCATCCCAATCTCACTTCTCTTCACCCTCAAGCTCTACCTCCACTCCACATGCCCTTATTAACTCCAGTGTAAGCACTGTGGAAAGTGACCAAGAAGAAGAGAGTAGGCAAGAGGAAGAAAGGAAAGAAAGGGACAGGGAAGGAGATCAGCTGTCTTTATTAACACTTTTGGTGGCTGCTTTTAGGAAGTCTTTGATTGGGTGTAGCATTTCTGAAAGTAAAGAGCTTTGTTCAATGGAAATTGGGTTGCCTACCAATGTTAGACATGTTGCTCATGTGACTTTTGATAGATTCCATGGATTTCTTGGTTTACCGGTTGAGTTTGAGCCTGAGGTCCCAAGGAGAGCCCCTAGTGCCAGGTAAGTTTATCAATGAAGGTTCCTTTTTTGTTCTTGAAAATTATCATTGAAACTATCGTCTAGGTTTGTCACGATTTGAGTCTTTCTTGATTAATTGGTTATTGATTGTCAATAAAAACGTAGTCTTTAAAGAAAAATTTTCTGGTGTTTCGTTATATTGGTTAATGTGGATGTTTTCTTGAAATTCTTTTGTGAATTTAAGTTTGCTCAATAATTTTTCCCCCTCTCTTGAATTCTTTGTTTCACATTCATATAATTTGGTCTGCTTAACTTTTATGTTATTTTTTCTACGAAAGAAATGGTTTAGTATTTTCCCTTTTCTTACGTAAATATGAAGAAAATGTTGTTGTAAACATCCATCCATTTTAGGGCTTCGAATTGTGATTAATTTCTTTGAGGCCTTGATTCTTATATGGAATTTTAGTAATAAAGGTGGCCATTGCTTTTCCCAATTAAAATCTTAATGAACTTGACAGTTTGCAACAGTTTGTATATGCAAATTTCTTCCACAAATGTTAAAGTTCTTCTCTGCATTGTATGCCTTTTTGCCCTGCTGGGCATTTTCTATTGAAGCACTTAGGAATTGGGTGCTGGGTACCCTTTCCTAATTTTTTTTTTTTTATAATGAGTAAACCTTAGTGAAATTATATCTATTTTGTGTTTGTTTCATTGTTTGATTCATGTTGCTCAGTTTGAAGACCAGGGACATTTTGATAGTTCATACCATGGATATAGTGAATGTATGGAGATAGAAATGATGATACCTTGCTTTGTGACCACTGCTATTAATGTCTTTATCAGCTTTCCATCCAACAGTGTTTTTGCTAATTTTATTTCATTCACTAAGATACCATTCTTGTGCAGTGCAAATGTATTTGGAGTTTCGACAGAATCTATGCAGCTTTCATTTGACTCTAGAGGGAATAGTGTGCCAATGATACTACTCCTGGTGCAAAGGCATTTGTATGCCCAAGGAGGCCTCCAGGTTTGTGACTATCTATCTTTTATCTACTATTGCCTGCTTGAAGTATCAATTTTAATAACTAAATTCTTATATTTATTTCTTTAGGCAGAAGGAATCTTCAGAATTAATGGAGAGAACAGTCAGGAGGAGTATGTCAGGGAACAACTAAATAGGGGAGTAATACCAGATGGGATAGATGTACATTGCTTGGCAGGTCTTATAAAGGTATTTTCTTTGCTCTTTAAAAGCTGCTGGTCTTATTTGGTATTATGAGCATGTTTTTCATATTTATATTGGGTACATAAGTGTTTCTGCTTGTTGTATTTTATCAGGCTTATTTTTATTATGAGTAATTAAAATATTGAGAATGAACTGTACTATCAAAAGGACTGGTTCATGGGCTGAGAATGCTGTCAAGATACCTCAGAATGATGTTTAGAATTTTGTATTTGGTTGATGTTTTTATAATTCTACAGGCTTGGTTTAGAGAACTTCCTAGTGGTGTCTTGGACTCTCTTACTCCAGAGCAGGTAATACAATCCCAGTCAGAAGAAGAGTGTGCTCGGCTTGTAAGGCTCCTTCCTCCAACGGAAGCTGCTCTACTTGATTGGGCAATAAATTTAATGGCTGATGTTGTGCAACTGGAACATATGAACAAGATGAATGCACGAAATGTCGCCATGGTGTTTGCTCCAAACATGACTCAAGTGAGTAAATATCTTTTTGTGGTTTTAAATATGCATGTCAAACTTCATGTACAATTATTGGTTACTGATATTTGAGCCAATTTGATGTAGTTGATAAAGCTTTATTGAATTGCTCTACAATGTGTTCTCCATATTTCTCACCTTAAAGTTGCTAACTATTTTAAGCATATAATTTGACACTAGTTCACATGGATGCATCCCCTATACCCTTGCGTACAAACTCACAGCATTTTTATATTTTTAAAACATGGGGGAAATCGGAATTTATTAGAAAAGCACTCTCATTTACTAATCTGATAAATGATCTAACTTCAAGACTAAGAGTTTATTCTACTTTCAGAAAAGCCCTTTCTGGGGCACCTTGAAGCATACCAAAGGTCTTCCTCCTTATAAACATGACAGTATATTTTTCTGATAGTAATTCTTTTTCATCAAAGTTTTAGTTTAATTTAGGGTTGTGTGGTGATAGCCAATATCATGTAGGTTTGTTCTTGCAATCTGATCCATTCATGGTTTAATAACCTCCACTACTGCTGTTTATTGCAGATGTCTGATCCTCTAACTGCATTGATGTATGCAGTCCAGGTGATGAATTTTCTTGAGACACTTATTATTAGAACACTTAAAGAAAGGGAAGATTCTATGGTAGACTCTACTTCTGTTTCTCCATTGGAGCCTTCTGATAAGAATGGACAGCAAAGCTCTTCCCTACTACACAAAGATGTCAATGAGGAGGTTAAAAACAAAAGTGAAGGAGGGAAAGCTTTTGTTGCTCAAGAACCTGCTATAGACAGCCCCATTCACTCTGCTGAAGAGAATTTGACTACCGAATGTAGCTCTCAAAGTTACCTAACTTCAATCGAGAACATTTGTGCTGGAAGTCGATCTCTAGTTGATGATGACTGTCCTTGCACTGTGGTTTCTCAAGTGAACACATTGGCAAATGAACTCCAAAAAGGTGGCCACCGTGGTACATCTAGAAAGAGCAAAAAAAGGGGTCAATCAAGCGTTTCAAGTCTAAAGAAGGGATCTAAGAAGGAAAATGTACGATCAATGGGTCGTGGAAAAAGGATTGTTAGGCACATTAATTCAAGAGCAGAGCTTTTTGAAGCTTGGAGCTGAAAGGCCTTTGATACTTGGTTGTAGACAGATGGGATCGGGATGGGAGGGAAAATGCCAACTGGTAAAACTTGGTATGTTGTGTTTCAGTTTCTTTCTTTGGAAAATATTGTGTATGAGTTCAGGTGTATCTTGTATGTGATTTAGGGTGGAAATTCTGTAACCTTTTTATTGCTTTATACTGACATTTCCTGGTCTCATTCTAACATGTTCTGCTGTTCATTGTACCTCATTTTTAAAGCTTCTAATCGATCAAAGTTTCTTGTTTTGCTGACCTGAACGTGACTTTTCCTTGTGCCTGTCTGATTGTAGTTTTGATGTAGGAAAAAAATGAAAAAAAAAAAAAATCCTGCAATTAGAAAACAATGACGAATTAAGCATGACAAGGGTTGAGAAACAAGGCAAAATTTGTAGTAGCCTAAAATGTTTTTCTTGAGGACCAATCAAATTCCACTTCGGGGTATATTCCCTGCCTGCTTCATGGTAAAAGATTTGACACTTTGATTCAATGGAGGATTTTACTCTGTATTGCCAAATGCAAAAACAAATCATAATTTTTAAAGACTTACTTTTCCTCAAGACTTCTCTCAATGATTTAACTTCGAAATTTTTGTTAATACTAAGTATTGTTTTCAATATACTTTCTTTTCACAATGAATGATTGGTTCAAGTAATAAAAAAATGCATTCTCATTTTTAATTTTTAGGTTCCGATAAAAAAAATATTAGACAAAATCCAAAAACCGTTAGAACTTAAAAAAAAAAAAAAATCCTTTCTTTCCAAATTAGGTTTTAAATTTCCTTTGGTGGTGGCAAAACAAAAGTGCCTTTGGTAGATAAGAGAAAAGGGGAAAAAGAAAAATAAACTAATCCAACGGTTAGATTAAAAGATCAACAGGTGGTCTTGAAATCTATTGGAAAATGGGAGGTATTGATAATTTAGGAAAATAATTAAGAATAAAAAGATTAGTATTCATAATTTGAAGATAATTAAAAATTAATAAAAAGTTGTATTTTTGGACAAAAAAAAGTTGGGCTAAGAGCCTATCCAATAAGAGAATGAAATTAAGCCCATAAGAAGAAGAGCGGATCAGCCCACATGCCCCTCAACTTTATTCTTGAAAGTAACAAAATGCAAACAACCGGCTGTCCTAAACTTGAGAGCATTTTAAAGATTTAATTCTCAAACTTTGTTATTTCTGATTTCAAATTCTCATTTCATGGTTCCCTTTTGTTGTTTTCAAGCTTAGAAATTCGTTTTTATTTTCATGCAAAGTCAACTTGGAGATGAATATACGATGCTTTCCGAGAAAATTTTCTTCTGCTTTGCCTCCTCTGGTTCCCCTGCAACTTCCTTCTCCAATGTAATGATTTCTTCTTTGGTTTTGCCAATTTGTTGCTTTTCTTTTAGAATTTTTGTTATATATGCGCTCAATTAATATGGGTGCCTCGCAAATTTGCTTCTCTTTTTGTATAGTTTTCGTGGGTGCTATTTGGTGTTCCAAGCTCTAACATTTGTGCTAAAGTTATGAATTTTTTTCGTTCATGCATTCTTATTTTATGTTTTTTTTTTTTTTGGTGTTTTAAGGGAAACCCATCTTTGGTATATATTGCCTAATGAGGTGAAGAGTGTGGCTCTTCTAAATCAATATTCTGAACTCTTATCACCATGTGAAAGAGAGAATGTTAACCGCATGGGAGGAGACCAGCTCAAGAAAAGAGCCCTGCTTGCTCGAGCCTTGGTTCGCACTACCATTGCCAGATGTAAGTTCCCTTTTTGTTGTGCTTATTATTTTGTTCATATTATTCTTTTATCTTAGGCTGTGTTGTAAAGTGATAAGAAACAATTAGTATATCTGAAATCTGATATTCTAATCTATATATACGTTGCATAATCTATCAAGGTTAGTTGAGGCCCAAGGGATTAGATCAAATTCTCAATTTTAATCTAATTAAAGTTACGCAATTCATGTTCAATATGACAATCGTGTGTAGATGCACCATCTTATTTGGGGGGGGGGGGGGGGGGGGGGGGGGGTTTAAGAAACTGCTAGAATCCTAGTATGTGATCTGATTTCTCTTCAACCACATGAAGGTTCAAGCTATTACTTGGAGTTGTGATTGAGATTCATGATTTCAAACAAAAGGAATAGTCTTGCTCATCTTATTAAGTATTATTTTTAAGCATCATGCGTCGGTTAACAGCGTAAGTGGTGTAAATGGCCTGCTAGCAATTCGGAAATGCCTTTCTGCAAAGAATGTTTTCAACATGCATATCTTAGGGACTCTAGATTGCTATCATTATATTACATGCCCTACATCAACTACTAAAATAGTTTTTGTATTGCTAGATCAGACAAATTGTCAGATGAATCCAAGATCTTTGAAGTTTAGGAAGAACATCTATGGGAAACCTGAGGTGAGTTATATCTTGGACTAGTAAAGGATTTGCTTGTTTGAGAACCTTGCGGTATTGTCCTTCCATTTTATATTTTTGAATATCATTTTATGTTCTTGTGTGTCTTAATTGTTTGTTTGTTCCATATTTAAATAGGTGGAGTGGAAGAATGATGACAACTTCAGCCCACCACCTTTGCATTTCAATATCTCACACACATCTTCTATGATTGCCTGTGGTGTGACAGTAAATGTGCCTGTAAGTCAATTGTTGTTCTGGTGGTCTGTAAAGATCTGCTTACACAAGGAATGTGTTGGTTCGTCTCTGTTAAAAGTTTTGTTACTGTGTACTCAAACTTGGTGCAATTTCCTTGCCTAATTGTAGATTGGCATTGATGTTGAAGGGAAGCAACGAAAGATAAAGAATGATATCATAGCGTTTGCTCAACGCTATTTTTCTCCTTGTGAGGTGAAACTTTTAACCGCTATATCAGACTCTGAAATTCAGCGTCAGGAGTTTATTAAACTATGGACTCTCAAGGTAAGCAAGATATTATGTATACTAAATCTGTCCCAAAGCATGACAAATCATAGTTGAAATTTAAAATAAATTGTGCATGCACATTTTTCTCAAGTTTTCTACAATCTGGATCTCATTTCCAGGAGGCATATGTAAAAGCATTGGGAAAAGGCTTCTCAGCTGTACCTTTTAAGACCTTTACTATTCGGTTCAAGGCTTCAACTATAAGGTGCTTTCATCTTCCTGGGAATTCAGTTTCTGAGGTTTGTACCTGAACTTCCTGGTAATCCACATAGATAGACAGATGTCAGCACTTGTGTCGCAGTATCTATGTGGTGAGGTTATAATATAAATAATCATTTAGTCCATTAAGGAAACTAAAAGTATTGGTGAGCTAGTCATTTAACCTTCTTGCTGAGCTTTTTTATCAGAAGTAACAACCGAAATAGAAGAATAGAAGTAACCGATGCATGTAAAATGAAAAATAAAAAGTGCCACTGAATGCTGTGATTTGTTCCTCTGGAAATTGATTCAGGATGTTATTATGTTGGTTATGACCTAACATATCCCACTGATGTATCTAAATGTTTTTTTATTAACACTAGCCACATTCTCAGGCATCTGAGGTAATTGTTGAATCATCTGATGATCCCAAGAACCTCCCAAACAATTGGCAATTTGCACTCCTGGAAGTGGCTGCTTCTCATTATGTTGCCATTTGCACGGAAAAGGATAAAATTGTTGGAGGTTGGTTTCTGATTCTTATTGGTTTAAGAGAGTTGTAGAATACATGGTTGCTAAAATATTAAAGATGTTTTATTCGTAGGTGAAGCAAATAGGCCAATGAAATTAACTGTGCGGAAAACCATTCCATTTGTTGAAGATGTTTGTGTCTCTGGAACTGATGCAGTTCTAGTCCTTGGTGGCATAATTGAGCAATAACAGAAATGCACTATACTTGCGCTTTATAAATTTTATTAAAATGTATTGATATATATACTCATATCTACTCTCTCACTATCTGGATTGGGTGAAGTAATCTTCAATTCCTCAGAATAGAAGCTTTTGCTGCAGTTCCTATAGGTCGAGACATAGTAGTGAAATTTCTGTAACATTGTAAAGTTCCATTGTTAATGGTGTAATTAGTATTGTTTCTTAGCATTTTTATTGTAATTTTTTAAAATTATCATTCTATAGCACGAAACAAAGAAAATTAAGGAAAAATTAGAGATATCTGCTCCCGAGCTTAATCATTCTGTCAAAGTTTTGTTTAGCTGGTTTTGGGGGCTCAAGGATAAGATAATTGCAGGCTTTGCATAAACTTATCTAGGTTTCTACTGATTTTGCATCAAAATCAGTTCAAGAGTCGAGGCAAGTTGACTGACTTGTTCAAAACTTCCAAGTATATGTGAGAAATCGGATGCATGATTCTACAAGTATTGCTGGAAATAAGAAGCTTGACAGATAATCTCTCTAACATTGCCCGCATGCTTTTGTCTTCTAAAATTCAAAATCTTTAATCACTCTCATCCACCACTACTTGAGGGAAAGCTCCAGCGGCTATCTGCCCTTATTTGTTAGTACATCAAAATGGTTCCCCTTTTATAAACCGAGATCAGTAATGACAAAAATTAATTAGCAATATTCCCAGCCATTCTGGCTGCTGATCACAAGAAGTCTGCTTAGCAAACAGGGGGCATGCATTGATCAATCAATTAACCTCAAGCGTGGCTGGTTGATCACCACCCCTTCTCTAGAAGCCCTCCGTCAAGGGTGTTATCTTCTCATCACCGCCCCTTCTATGAACTGTAAACTGATGCCCAAAGCTAATGCATTTGACAATATATTATTGCAGCCACAAAGCTGAACCGGCAATCCACAGGCTTACAATTGCTGACATAATTCTCAATTGCAATTTCAAACAGTTTGAAACTCCAATCTCCAGTCTTCTTGCTGCATATTTTCTACTACTTCGAGAACGTCTTGGGATATCCTTCTATAGAGGACCAGGGAGTGTAGATTTTGCAGTATGGACCTCAAGTGAATATTACCAGTAGTCTTTGCATGAACATAGTCCATCTCTGAAGTGGTGGAAGCGGGTTGCATCTCTAACAACAAGTTGACGATCCACAATCTTGCTGACACCCTTGAGAAACAAATGGCAATCTTCACACACTCTAAGGTTCTTTATCACGATAATCTCTGTCCCTGGCTTGGAGTTCAACAGTCCAAACACAATCGCCAACTTTTCACTATGAACACCCATCCCAAGGAACAGTTCTTTATTTCTCCTTTCTTCATCGTTTTTACAGCCAACAAGTTTTTTCACCAAAGTTTCCAGCTCATCTACCATTCTATATATCTCCTCTTTCTGAGGATGGCTTCTGTCCCCAGCTAAGAAAAGGTGTACTCTCCCTTTATACTCAAGATAGCTAAATCCTGGATTCTTTTTGAGCTTCCGCTCCCTCATCATTACTCTAACCTTTAATACTCCCTCCAAATTATCGGCCTCAGAGTAAATATTGGATAATAGAACATAATAACCAATATTTGTAGGCTCAAACTTAGTAACTTGTTCGAAAGCCAACTCTGCTATCTCTACATTTTGATGAATTTTGCAGGCACCCAAAAGGGCCCCCCAGACTGCACCATCTGGCTTTACCTGCATTGATTTAATGAGCTCCAAAGCTTCATTTAGGCGACCAGCCCGACCTAGAAGATCCACCACACAAGAATAATGCTCTGGACCTGGCTGCAACCGATGCTTCATCTTCATTTCAACAAAATAATCCAAGCCTTTTTCAGTCAACCCTGCATGACTACATGCACACAAAACACTCACAAATGCAGCACTATCAGGCCGAATACCGCTCTTAATCATCTCATCAAATAACTCCACCGCAATCTCTCCATATCCATGCATTCCATAGCCACCTATAATCGCTGTCCATGAAACCACACTTTTCACAGGCATACCATCAAAAATAGCTCGAGCCTTAACCAAATTACCACACCTAGAATACATGTTAATCAGTGCATTATTCAAAAACGGATTCAAACCAAGTCCACTAGACTCTATTCGCTGTTCAACCTCGCGACCAACACTAATAGCACCAAGGTGAGCACAAGATGACAAAACCCCAACAAATGTAACCGCATCTGGACACACCTTGGAAGCTTCCATCTTTTTATAAAGTTCCAAAACATTAGCCGCAAGTCCATTCTGGGCGTACCCGGAAATCATAGCATTCCAAGTAATCAAACCCTTTTTGGGCATCTCATCAAACAACATCCTACCAAACTCAACCGCCCCGCTTTTTACGTACATTGTTAGTAAACAATTAGAAACAGAGAAATCAAGGTTCAACCCTAACTTCACACAACAACAATGAAAAGACATCCCTATGCTTAAGTACCCTGGTTCTGATAACACCGGAACCAACCCCAACATTGTAACTGAATTAATAGAAACACCCATTTCTCTCATTCCACAAAACAAAGCAATCACGTCAAAAACCCGGGAATTTAACGCGTATCCGGAAATCAAAGCATTGTAACAAACTGTTAATTGATTTGATAATGGATTTTCATCGAACACTTTGCGGGCGTTTTCGAGGGAGTTGAATTTGCAATACATTGAGATTAGAGCAGTAAGAACAAAGGGTTCCGGGGAACACCCGGATTTGATGATGTGGCAGTGGAGTTGTTGGCCGGACAAAGGAAGGGAAAGGAAAGCAGAGGATTTAAGAGCGAAGGGGAAAGTGAAGACGTTTGGGTTGGAACCGCAACGCAGCATTTGGCGGTAGAAATTTAGAGCTTGAAGATATTGGCCTTGCTTTGCAAGCTCTCTTAACTGAGTGTTCCATGGAATTGAAGTCATAGGAAGCAAAAACGGCGAGGAATTGATGCTGTTTTGAAGTTTGACTGTTCGAGAAAGAAGATGAAGCCGTCAAATTTTTGGCGCGGAGAAACGGGCAAGAGAAGGAAGTCCAGTAGTAAAGCGCTGCGTTGAGACTTGAGAGTTGTGGACACGTAATGCCGCAATTGGAGGAAAAGTAAGACGTAAAATAGAACTGTGGACCGCGTAGCAGGGAATCCAACAAGAAGATAACGGATCATATCTAAATTGTCCGAAAATCCAGAGAGAGAGAAAACAGAAAGAAGCGAAAAAAATACTCTGGGAATGGAAGCAATGCAATTTTCGACCGTCGCCTCCCGCCATTTCTTGGCGACTTTGGGTTCCTTTTCGACCAATCGAAGCTTCTACAAAAGTCCGAGAAACTCAACTAAACTGGGCAGTTCATGGTGTAGTGGTTCCAGCAATCTTGTTTCCCTTCCTTGCAGGAATTTGTTCTCTGTAAGTAAAAGAAAATCAATGTAATTTTACCATTTATACTTACCTTTCTGTTTGGTTGTCGAGAAAATGCGTAAAAGAAGCTAAAAAGCATGTGTCTTTTGGTCTTTCAATTGCTAAAGTTTTGATTTTTTAAAAATAATTTGTTGGCAGAGAGAGATATGGGGGTGGGTAAATTCCAAGACGGTTACTTTAAGGAGAGAATTGCGAGGTGTTGTAAGAGCTGAAATGTTTGGTCAGCTAACGAGTGGCCTCGAAGCTGCTTGGACCAAGCTTAAAGGAGAAGGTTTGCTTTTTATTTTTTCTTCTTCTTTTTTTTTTTTCCGGTTTTGATTTGTTTGTTATTTTTGCAACTTACCCTTTGTTTTTGAAAGTAAAATCAGAAAATTTTTTTAAAAAATTAAACACTGACTTTCTGTGAATAACAAAACGTGGGTGGTGAACTTGTTCTGGTTCAGAGGTTTTGACAAAGGAGAACATTGCGGAGCCAATGCGTGATATTAGGAGAGCGCTTTTGGAAGCAGATGTAAGTGAGTGGTGTTGGAATTCTTGGGTTTTTTTTTCCAATTTTCACTCTGTAATAACATATTAATAACACAGTTGGTGTCTGTTAACAGGTGAGTCTTCCTGTTGTTAGAAGGTTTGTGCAAACTGTAAGTGACCAGGCTGTTGGAGTTGGCCTTATTCGAGGAGTGAAGCCTGATCAACAATTGGTTAAGGTATGAACTTCTATCAACAAAATGCACTTTGCTAAGTAAGCCTCTAAGAAAGCTTTCGATGAGTTTGTTTATCATGTCTAGTTGACACCCTTGGTAGCTGGATTTTGCATCCGGTCTTATTGCCTTTAGTTGGTACTTTATTGTCTCCTTGTTTCCTCATTCATGCTATAAAGCTGAGAACTATCTTAATGGCCTTTGATGTTTGATTTGTGTATATCACTTTTGTTTTCTTTTGGTTGCAGATTGTACATGAAGAGCTGGTGAAATTGATGGGAGGAGAGGTTTCTGAACTGGTCTTTTCAAAATCTGGCCCCACTGTTATACTATTGGCTGGTCTGCAAGGGGTTGGGAAGACAACTGTTTGTGCTAAGTTAGCTAATTATCTTAAGAAACAGGTGCCATTTGTATTGGTCCATATAGACAAGTTTCGCTTTTTCCTTAAGCCTCAATTGACATTGAAGCATAATGTTGACTACAGGATAAGAGTTGCATGCTTATTGCAGGAGATGTATACAGACCTGCTGCTATCGACCAACTTGTTATTTTGGGTGAACAGGTATAGGTTTTTCATTGTCAATAAAATTCTCTTGTTGCTTTAGTGTTATATGATTTCATTTGTCACTTTTCGTTCAAATGAATTTTTGTTCTATTAGATTTCAAAGAAGATTTTCTGATTGTTTAGTCAAATATGTTTGGTGATAGCTCTAGAGTTGCACTTTTACCTGCTAGAGGTGCTCATTTGTGAGGTTAAAACATGGAATTTTACATTCTCTTACTTCCAAGATGGAGGAATGAAGACTGAAATTTCTTGTTGTCTTGATGTGAATCATCTACTATTAGTTTGTAGATGTCAATAGTTTGCTCACATTAACAATTATTATTCACTAAGACTGAACAAATGAAACAAAAACTGCTATCATAGAAGCTTTCTAGCAAAAAGGTATCTTGTTGAAACATTTTCTGAATGATTTTAGTTCAAATGGAATTATTTTTGGTTTCAGGCAAGTTAAAATTACCTGACTGATGAGTCATAAGATAGTGCAAGTAAATTAATAATGATAACTTTATCTATCCAAATTTTGTAATCTCCCCTCTTGGCTTATGCCTTGTGACCATAGTTCCAGTTTAGTTCATGAATTGAGAAATTTGTTGATTGGTTATGACAATTATATTTACCCATCATTAGGTTGTTTCTCTTTTGTCTTCTCCCAAAAAGTATTATTTCTCATACTTGTTATAGCTTGTGACAGGTGGGTGTTCCTGTTTATTCAGTAGGGACTGAGGTTAAACCATCTGAAATAGCAAAGCAAGGTTTAGAAGAGGCCAAAAAGAAGAAGATAGATGTAGTGATAATGGATACTGCAGGAAGGCTCCAGGTAATATGATAGCATCCGTCATGAAATTTCCAATGATTCTTAAATGATGCAGCATCCTCAAGTTAATCTTCCATGCAAATTCTTTTCTTGTATTGAACAGATAGATAAAGCAATGATGGATGAGTTGAAAGAAGTGAAGAAAGTATTGAATCCCACAGAAGTTTTGCTGGTTGTGGATGCAATGACTGGCCAAGAAGCTGCTGGTACTCGGACTTCAGACTTTCTCTTTTAATATACCACTGCCTTTTTTTTCTCGTTTATTCATTAATAGATATTATGACTATTTTTATTCTAAGAATCTCTTAAATCTTGATCCTATTATGTATTATGTACATTTGAGTACTTATATTTATAGAACATGTATCTCATTCAAGCAGACCTGCAGCAATTGATTGGCTAAATGTTCTACTTAGAACGCCGGGCAGCTGGCCAAATTCATACATGAATAACATTGAAAGTTTATAGTTGAAGTTTACTCATTTGAATCCATTTGATTGATTATACATATCTATGTATCTATTTACCTACTTAATATTAGCTATTGTCAAGACAATGACTGAAAAGTCCATGATGTTCTTCTCTTGTTCTTTTTTGAATTCACAGCCTTGGTCACAACATTCAATGTTGAGATAGGGATTACCGGTGCCATTTTGACAAAGCTAGATGGGGATTCTAGAGGTGGTGCAGCTTTAAGTGTTAAAGAGGTTCGCCTTACCATTTCCTTTGATTTTCTTCACTTGGAGTTTTTGTTATAGAATCTCTTCCTTGGGGAAGACATTTCATAAAACACCTGAAGATTGTGACAGTAGTTATTATACATTTCTTGGTGGCAAATTTGGTCATTGACGTCTATTCTATGTTATTGAACACTGCAGGTGTCTGGGAAACCAATCAAGCTTGTAGGACGTGGAGAGCGCATGGAGGACCTTGAACCTTTCTATCCAGATCGTATGGCTGGACGCATCTTGGGAATGGGAGATGTTCTCTCATTTGTTGAAAAGGCGCAGGAAGTTGTAAGTTTTAAGTGAATTTCACTCCATACCCTTTGAAATAAAACACATCAAGATAAGTTTTAATCAAAATGCCTGTTTAGATGCGCCAAGAAGATGCTGAAGAGCTGCAAAAGAAGATAATGAGTACAAAGTTTGACTTCAATGATTTCCTAAAGCAGACCCGTACTGTTGCACGGATGGGTTCCATGACTCGTGTTGTTGGAATGATCCCTGGCATGGGAAAGGTATGAAAGTTGGGTTTCCTATTCTTTGGCGTTATAATAGCAGTCTTTTGTGTATTGGTCAATTATTACTCTTTTTCTTAAAAAATGAAAGTCTATGGACTGTAGGAAGAAACTGATTTGATGTCCTATGTTCACAAACAGGTTACCCCTGCCCAAGTTCGAGAAGCAGAGAAGAGTTTAAAATTAACGGAGGCAATGATTGAAGCCATGACACCAGGTATCTTACTTTAACTGCTTTTACTGTGGCAATTTGAAGTATAAAACCTGACCAAGCATATTTTTTCTTGTTTTAAGTTTATTTGATTAACCTTGACCTTTGCTTCTTTAACTATCAAGTGGTACTGCTGTACACACAGCCCCTTTTTTTCGGAATAAAAATGTAAACAAAAAGATGAAGCAGTATTGATCTACACTTATGTTTTACCAGTGCATACTCTGTTATGTCTTGGTTTCTGAGGCTGATAGGAGATAAAGACTATGAAGAGCTGAGCATACCTGAAAAGAAGATGAAAGTTCTACTTTTTTTCATTACCCTCTCTCACTTTCTCATTTGAAATTGCCAAATTTATTTGGACCAGGTCTATCTATGGTTATAATGCTGGGTCCTGCTATGTACAATCAAATCATGTACTCACCCTTCCATGGATGTTTCCTTTTGGTGTTGGACTAGCTAGATTGTGCAACTAGTTACTTCTTGCTTTTGCCAAAAATGGTCCAAATCAGTGTAGCATGCTATACATTTTTCCCTGATGAGGTTCTTTCTGCAACTTATTGTTGCTATATGCATATTTAAGAGTTGGCATTGATGATTAACTATGGTTGTGAGGAAACAGCATATAAGTTTTGATAAATATGTCTGTACTTACTTTGAGATGCCATCTCTTGATTTGCTTCTTTCTTTTTTTTTTTTTTCCTTTTCCTGTCAAATTGGTTTCTGTTAAACTTTTCTTATTTTCTTGTTTATTTACAGAGGAAAGGGAGAAGCCGGAGTTGTTGGCTGAGTCTCCTGAAAGAAGGAAAAGAGTTGCTCAAGCTTCTGGTAAAACTGAGCAGCAGGTATATATTGCTTCTACTAGTACATTTTTTAAATTTGGACTACTTGTGAATGAGATACATTTTCTGGCATCAATAATAGGTGAGTCAACTTGTTGCTCAACTCTTCCAAATGCGTGCTCGCATGAAGAATTTGATGGGTATCATGGAGGGCGGATCTATTCCAACATTGAGCAATCTCGAGGATGCAATGAAAGCTGAAGAAAAGGTGCCTTTTCTGCAAGTGCATACTTATTCAGACAGTGCCATATAACTATAAACCCATATATCAATGACGAAATTCTAACAGGACTCGTAATGTCCATTCAATTATTTTCAGGCAAGCTATATTCTTATAATAATTGATGTTTTCATTTTCTCCCACGTAATAGGCTCCTACAGGCACTGCCAGAAGAGAGAGGAGATCAAAATTGAGAAGGCGGTTTGCAGATCCGGCACCAACAAGGCCAAGCCCTCGGGGTTTTGGTGCAAAGAACTAGGAACTCACAGTTTGAGGGACGGCAGGACTGTCCATTATCTGCTTGCAATGTAAGCAGGGAAACTTGTTTCATTCTTTAGTACAACACTATAGAGATGATCATCCTGCAAAATTCAACGTAACAAGAGACGATGTACTATTGTAAGTGATTCATATTGAGCAAAAACATCTTTCATGGGAAATCAAGTTATGATATCATGGTTTCTTGATTGAAATGAAAAGAGTTTCTATGGTACAATGGTCGTTTGAAGCTCAAAAGTATCTTACAATTTAAGGTGTGGTTTCATTTTATATTCTTTGTTTTAAAGGTTAAATCATTATTAAAAAAGGAAAGTGTGTTCGTTTCTTTGTTGTTCGGATTTCAATCCATTGAATGTCGTGGGAAAGTATAGAATATTCGTGAGTTTGTCAGATTCAGTATAAATAAATTCGCTTGGATCAATTTAAAAATTGAATAAAATCCAAAAATCCCTTGTCAGTGGAAAGAAACAATGGAAAGTTCCTATAATATTTTCCTCCATGGCTCCTTCATTCGTTAACAGTCATCAAAAAAATGAAAAACAACTGTCAAGGATAACTTTCTCACTACAGACATCCAGGATTAGTTAATTCTGACAAAATACCCGGACAGTTGAGAACAAAAATAGAAAGTCGTTAACACCCATAGAAAGCTCAGGATTCAAGCTTCTGGGTTACTCACACGTGTCTTTGATCTATTTTTCCATTGATGCTCTGAAATCCCAAGCCTTATATCTCATTCTCATTCTCTTTTTCCTGTTCTTTCCAACAAAAGAAAGAATACGGATTAACTTGAAAGATTTTTAAGGAAAATGGCAGATGGAATTTCTGATTCCTCCGGTGGAAAATTTCCAGATGCTGATGCTAAGGGGGAGTTGAATCCAGGTGAAAACAAGGACTTTAAGGTTGATTCTTTGTCGTGTGAGATTGCTACTTCCAGGGAGATCAAGGTAAATATATCTAAAATTTAAATCAAATGAAAATAAAATGGATTTTTTTTTTCTTTTTCAATAATGTCATATCCATTGGAGATCTTTTAGATTTGATGGTGTCCATAGTAAATCAATTTTAAGTATAAAAAGATGATTCAAGACTTCCCAAAGTCTCCAAATTCAGGAATCCCTTTGATTAATGTTAGCATAATCTTTTTATTTTATCTTGGTAAAGCAAAACTTGCATCAAATTTCTTGCTAATTATACTGATTTCTTACCACTTGCAAATGAAGGACCAAGCTAAGGCAGAAGAGAACAAGGGAAAGAAGGATCCAATGCAGAGGCTGAAAACAGCAATTCTAGTTTCAGCTGTGGTGGTGGCAGTGGCAGGGGCAGCCTTTGCCATAACCAAGAAATTGAAAGAGAAATGAACATATATAGTGTGGCTACAGGTAGCCAAAAGAGTGTATTAAATCTAGCAATTCTACCTTTTTTTTGTCTCATTTTTGTTTATTTATTTTATTATTATTATTATTTGTTATCATGGGGCTTTTCTTATTCTATTAATTAATGTTTAATTTGGATGGACGATGGAGGAAATTTCATGGCATCAAAACTGTAGTTTTTTGTCATTAAACTCCACAAGTGATTATCCCTGTGGAAAGTAGTATTATAACATGGATTTAGAGAACTTTCTTCTGTTACCAGCTGCATTTGTTTTAACAGGAAAAGCTGCTATTCACGTTGAACTTTCTGTACTAAAGGAACAAGACATCAACTATGATGGACATATATATATATTTTGATTTAATATATGATATAAGACATTATACATTATATAGTAGTAACAAAAAAATATATATACATGAGCATTTGAATTAACGGCAAGAGTGCAAGAGTCATGTTCGAATTTCTTTCTTTTTTTTCTCGAAATTTAACTAATTAAAAAAAAAAGATAATACAGAATTTGAAAATACAAAAGAAAGGTGTAGTTCTAAAGGTGGTTCATTTTCTATGTTTTGATCCAAGTGATAAATAACAAAGAGAAAGTATTGAAGAACTTATAAAAATACATATAGTATCTCTTTATCAAATTGAATCTCATCTTCCAAAATTAAAAAATATTAATATCAATAACTTAAAAAATAAAGAACAAGACTCTGCCTAAGAAGAGGAAAGTAACAAGAAAAATGCTTTTAATTTTTTGGTTGTAAACATATGAACTTATAATAACCTTTCAATTAGTATTTTCTCCTTGTTATAGTATTTGGGCTTGCAAGATTGAGTTCATGTTCAGAAGAAGAATACATTTGAACTTATCCAAAAAAAAGCATAGGGTTTTTTTAAGGATTTTTTAGGATAAAAAAGCACTAAGTTAAAGCCCAAGTTCACTTCCACTTCGTTTGGACTTAAGACATGGATTCGTTGCTGGATTTTTCTTCTTCTTTACCTCATGACAACGCCGTTGGCACCCTCCAACAAGAAAAATGCCCCTCCACCGCATGATCCTTCTCTCTCCACCGTCACAACCACCGCCACCTCCGCCACTTCTCCATCTCCGCCCCACACAAAAACGTAAACCCAAATTTCTTCACTTTAATTCACCCTTGAATCTTCCCTTTATACCCAGACTCAAACCCATAAATTCCGTTAAACTCTCGTTAAACCCCCAAACCATGCAAAAGCCACTTTCTAAAACCCTTGAAACCCTCACCAAACTCAAACCATTCCTCCAAACCAATCACCGATCCATCCTCCTAGGCTGGCTCTGCAGTTCCGTCTCAGTTTTTTCCCTTTCCCAAATCATCCCCAAAATTGGTTCCTTTTCTTCGAACTTAACTAACAATGTTTCCGTTTCAAAATTGCGTGACCAAGGCCTTGTTCTAGGGTTTTTGGTGTTGGTCAAGTTGGTTGCTCGTTACTGGCAACAAGCTTTTTTATGGGAAGCTGCGTTAAGGACGGTGTATCAGATGAGAGTTTTCGTTTTCCAGAAGGTTTTGGAGAGAGAGTTGGGTTTTTTTGAAGGTGGCAATGGGGTTTCTTCTGGGGATATTGCTTATCGGATTACAGCTGAGGCTTCTGATGTTGCTGATACTGTGTTTGCTCTACTCAATGTGAGCAATCGAGTATTACTTAAAGTACTTTTTTTGTTCTTTTGCTTTATTCAACGGTGTTTTGGATAATTTTTTGTTAAAATATTTTTTTTATGAACTTAAATTTCCGAGTTAAAGTCGTTAGAGGAACAATCTAATTGCTAGAACTCGAATTTTGAACTTGGATGTCTCAAGTTTGAACCCTTGGGAAAGAGGGTTCTTCCTGTTTTGTACCCTTAGCCCAATGTGCTTTCATATGCTCATTTTTTTTTCCTTTTATCAGTTGAATAACTATAAGGCAAATAATCTCAAAGGTTTTTCATTGTTTTGGGGCTAAATGTTATCTCTGGTTGTAGATGGATCATTAATGTCAACTATGATCTTCATGTTCATGTAAATTTTTGTTGTCAGTGGTGTGTGTAGTCTCTGCAATGTATATGTCAATTATTTATTGTCTTTCTTGAGACAGACTATTGTGCCCAGCTCGCTGCAATTATTTGCTATGGCGACTCAGATGTTGGTTATCAGTCCTTCCCTCTCCTTGATTTCAGCAATGGTAAGGATATGTGATAATTATTTATAGTTTTATTATTTGTTCTGGCTTTTGTTTGTTAACAAAATGCATTTTTTATTACCTTTATGTTTGATGTGTAATGTGTCTATAAACATTTCTTTTCTGGTGAATTTTAGGTGGTTCCATGTATGGCTTTTGTTATAGCTTATCTAGGTGAAAGACTTCGTAAGATATCTAAAAGAGCTCATTTGAGTATTGCCACACTTGCAGCTTATCTGAATGAGGTATGCTTTTTGTTTTATAAGGCCATCTGTTATATATATATTTGGATAAGCAAAATTTTTTATTTATCCATAAAAGCAGGGGATAGCCTGCATCTTTCTAATTTCTCATGAGCGCTTGCAATTCATTTTCTGTTTGTATAAATTCTTCAGTGTTCACAAGGCATCCAACTTTTAAGTTGTCCCTTATTTTAGCTAGTCCATTTATAATGTTTTAGGTCCTCCCAGCCATTCTTTTTGTGAAAGCAAACAGTGGAGAGTTGTCCGAGCATGCCAGATTTAGAAAGCTTGCCTTTGAAGATTTATCTCAATGCTTGGCAAAGAAGAAAATGAAGGCATTAATCCCAGTGATTGTACAAATTATTTATTTTGGTGTTTTATGTATACTTTGCATTGGATCCCTGGTGGTTTCATGTGGTTCTTTTGATGGCTGTAGCATCGTTTCTTTTGTAACATCACTGATTTTGTTGGTTGAGCCCATCCAGGTAATATATATATATATATATATCTATATATATATTTTTTTTTTCAAAAAAAGCTTACCATGCTTGTTTCTACTTTAATTATCAGTATTCCATTATCCATATATTGCAAATTTAGCTTCTCATTTCATTCATTCTGTGCTAAGAAGTCTTTCCCTAAGTTACTGGATTTGCTGATGACCACCATCAAATATTAGTGTTGTGGTTTTCCTTAGTTTAAAGACAGTTAGTGCAATGATCTCTTCTTTACATTTGGAAGTGATAATGATAAGTTGTCTGAAACATTTTTCTTATTACTTTCTTTACTATGCTTCAGCAATTGAGGAGTTGTCTTAAGTAACCAATCTTAGAATAAAGAATCATGCAGGGTGTGGGTAAAGCATACAATGACTTGAAGCAAGGAGAACCGGCGATTGAACGCATATTTGATTTGACCAAGTTGAAGTCTGAGGTACATTTTTTGCTTGTCATGATTAACTTGAATGATCACTGATAAACTCTTTATGATTTATATGGCAATATACAAGCATTTTGGAGGCTATTATTTTAATAAAAACTTCAGAAGGAATCTGTAAATACAAAGAGGTTAAACATTGAAACACATTTTTGGGCACATAATGATGTTTGCAAAACTGACTCAAAGCTGCAGTTTCTAGTCAATATTAATTTTATCTTCACGATATTGTTATCACATTTCCTTTTTTTTGAACATAGGTTATTGAGAAACCGGATGCCATTGATTTAGACCTTGTCAAGGGAGAGGTGAAATTCTGTGATGTCTCATTTAAATATGTGGACAACATGCCTCTTGTTCTGGATGGGTTGAACCTCAGTATAAGACCTGGGGAGACAGTTGCTCTTGTTGGACCATCTGGAGGAGGAAAGACGACACTTGTAAAATTGCTTCTTCGTCTTTATGAACCTTCAACTGGTGAGGCATCTCAATCTATAAATTTATGCTTATCCCATAAACCTGATTGAGTTATTTCTGCTTCTGGACTCCCTTCAAAGTTTGTGAAGGTTTGCTTTACCTGGCATTCCATGTTGCAGGTTCTATACTTGTTGATAACCACAACATAAAGAACATCCGATTGGAAAGTTTGAGAAGACATGTTGGTCTCGTTTCTCAAGACATAGTTACTGACCAATGATTACCTTCTTCATTAGTATTATCATTTCATTACTGTAATTTTGCTTGCGATGAATCTTCCAGATTGGTTCAAATTATTGAGTTAGATAACTCTTCTACGTGTATCAGATACTTTTTTCTGGGACAGTTGCAGAAAACATTGGGTACAGGGATCTAATGACATACATTGACATGGAGAGAGTTGAGCGTGCAGCCCAAATTGCAAATGCAGATGAATTTGTCAGAAAACTCCCAGAAGGATACAGGAGCCTTATTGGACCAAGGGGATCACTTTTAAGTGGAGGTCAGAAGCAAAGGTAAACTTCACATATGTATTTTTGTTCTAATTCTGAAATGTCTTCCTGTCTAGTCATTTTTTCCAGAGTGGAGCACTCACATTTAGTTGCTAGCCTAATTGCAAGAAAAAAAAAATCCAGCTTAATAATTTTATTTTATTCTATCAGGAAAGAATAGTTCACTCAATACAGCAAGAAGTAATATACTTGCTTATTATTTCTCGTTGTTTAAATTATAAATCTACTTGCTTGCTTACAAATGCAGACTAGCTATCGCAAGGGCACTCTATCAGAATTCATCTATTTTGGTTTTGGATGAAGCAACTTCTGCTCTAGACAGTAGGTCTGAGTTATTGGTGAGGCAAGCTGTTGAGCGCTTGATGGAAAATCATACAGTAAGAACAATAGCTTAACCTATTGCTGGAATTATATTTTGATATATAATCTTCCTTGAATCTGTAATGGAACAAGTATGAATAACCAAGGTTTTACTAACCAGACCGGAGGTTGAACCAGTTGGATGTCCGGTTGCTGGTCCAACAGGTTAATTGGCTGGTTCAATTATAAGCATTAATTATGCTTTAAATGTAATATTTGTTATAAATATATATTAAATATGAAATGTACTTATACAAATAAATAGATTTGACTTGATGGTTAGTATATTAATAAGATTCTAAAGGGATAAGGGTTTAAATCTACCACTTACAATTTTTTATAGAATAAATAATCATTTAAAAAATAAATATATCAAGAACCAGTTTAATCCAGTTTAACCGGACTTTGATCGGTTGGATGAAAGGGGTGGCTTCTACTGTTCCTTGGACCAGACAGGCCACTGGTTCAGTTCCGGTTTGTACAACACTGTGAATAACCAGTGTGCCTGACATCTGTTTAGTAGCATTGCTTTATATGCCTTCTATCCTTTTGGATTATATCCTTTGAGTTTTATTGGCATTAATTTCAAATGCATTCTTGAGGATGTGATAGAATGTAAGCCTGGTGTTTGATTAGTCTATTAGGTTCTATGCAGTAGTGTCTTCAGCTATTAGGCTGCAACAAGAAGCTGCCTCAATGAAAATACATTCCGACGCTGATAAATTAGCTCCAAAATACATCTGATAATTGGGTTTTTTCTTTATGCCAAGGGAGGCTACATTAGAATGTCATAGGATCAGTTGAAGTATCTAGGTCAATTGAATGTGAATAAATTCTTTGATGCCTCTTCTGGTACTAAATTTTGATCTTGAAATATCCATTGTTTGTACTTGTTATAGAGACATGAACAATGCAAAAATATAAGAAACATGGTTTGTAAAGAAGGCATAACTAGAGAATTATTCTTTATAGTTAAACCGTGTATACTTACTTGCAGGTGCTGGTCATAGCCCATCGATTGGAAACGATTTTAATGGCCGATCGAATATTCCTTCTTCAAGATGGGAAACTGCAGGAGTTAGCTCGGTCAACTTTTTTGGCTGGTCACCATGACTCACTGATGTCTACGGGTGTTGTGATTTGAGTTCATTCAAGAGCATGATTCAGAGATTATAATAGCTGCTGTTCACAACCTGCAGATTAGCTTATGTTCATCCAGTTTCAACATCCGCTGATGGCGCTTCCAATCTCCATGCATTGTCAAAAGGTTGCCATGTGATCTGCAACAAATTACTAGAGTCGAAGCTTTCTCATCCAGTTGTTGATGTATGTATTACTAATAAATTTGTAAACGGTTCATTTGTTGTTGCATATGTTAATGAATAAATATAATGGTGGAATTAGTGTTATCCTCAATTTGTTTATAAAATTAACTAATGGTTCTTTTCAATAAAATTTTTGAATATTCAGTTCAGAGATGGAAATGTGGCCAAACGGTGCTATTTTTTTTAATTCAAATAAACCAAAATTATAGCACTTCTTAGTAATTAGATTCAAGTGATGAAGACAAAGACAAAAATTATTCATAAAATAATATAAAAATTTTAACATAATATAATAGTATTTGCATTTATAACTATATTAAAGAAAATAGTGCTACATTATTTATTCCATACATTTATTTGACATAGTTACTTTTTATTTCAAAAAAGAAATTTAAATTTAAAGTTATTAAAATTTGTTTATATTGAGTGAATAATTAAAAATATTTTTTATATATAATCAAAGAAATCCTGAATTATGAAATCAAAAGAGGACAAATTGCTTCTATGGCAGTAAATTTCTATTTTACCCCAAGATGGATTAGGACAAAACGGCAACCCACAGTTGTCGTTTTAGTGTGGGTGCGGAATGCGCTTACATTTGTCTTTCACCATTTTAAAAAGGCCGAAATATCAACTCAATCCCTCCATAATTTCATTTGCCGCCAACAAAACCGCGCGCTCCCTTTTTAAGCCTTTTTTCTTTTTTTTTTTTTTTCTTCTAAAGCTCATTTCCCTTATAATTTTATGCACCCAAAAATTAAAACCCAAAAAAGAAGTCATTTCTCTTATCGTTCAATCAGGTATTTCTTTTCTAGACTACACTGTTGTTTTCTGAGAAAATCAATGCAAACTCTTAAAATTTTCCTTTTTCTTTCAGATTTTCTCAGCAAAAAACTGTTCACCATCAATCCTTACCAGGCTCACTACTAGTTCAGTAGTTTGATACGGTACATTCCACATCACAACCTTTCTTTTTTCTTTTTTTTTTCCTTTTATTTATTGTAATTTTGTCCTGGAGAAAAAAAATTGTTATCGATCAGTTTAATTATGTGAACTAAATAGACCCAAATCGAGTAAACTGTAGATAAATCTTTAAACTGTTGAAAACCCCAAATTGTATGATCACCCTTAGGTTATGAGAACTTTTGCTTGAATAGTTACGCCTTTAAGAAAATTTTTTGGGTATTTCAGTATGTTACTTGCCTTAGATTTATGGATGGTGGTAATGCGATAGGAGGGTAGCTAATCTTCTAGATTTGCTTGGATTTTTCCTATCAGATTTGGTGCAATTAGTGATAACAAGAAATCTACGTGTTTAGGCTTTGTTTTGGGTAAATATTGCTTTCCCAATTTAATATATCAAGAAAAAATGCCGCTAATTTGTTTTTTATATAAAAAATTTTGGCGCAATTGTGCTTGGGAATTACTTTTGGTATTAGTAAAATAAATTTCTTTTGGATGTTTTCTTTCTTGTTATGCAAGATATGGATACTACAAGCCCTACAGCTTTTGTCAATGGAGGATTATTACACATGCATGTGGGACGCAAGGTGCGAGCTGTGATTCAGGTTACACGTTCTGATGTTGGATTTGTTATGGGAAAGTCTGCAGATGACCGCCAACTTGTTGTAAAAGGCTCTCCACCTGTTCCTCTTACAAGTTATGTTGAGGTCATTGGTGTTGCTGAGAATGATAATTCCATCCGAGCTGAAATATGGACCAACTTTGGTGACTCGTTTGGCATGTCCTACTCCAGATTAAATTTACTTGATCTTTTTGAACCATGCTGATGTGACCATTTTAACATAGGGAACTTCATTTTAGGTTTCAAACATAATGATTTGGGTGTTATGTGGACATGGAATCCCGGATTGGTGTTAGGACAAGCACTTCTACGTTGGACATGTTCCAATAGTTAGTTTATTGGGGTGGATGAATCAGAACAGTAATTGCTAACAGTAATTGTTAAGCGTTTCTGCTTCTGCTCACTGAAAGAGTTGCCTGATCCCAATGTTGATGGGCTTTATTAACTATTAGGGCTAATAGGAAGGGTAAAGTGGTAAACTTGCAGTAAATATAAATGCTGGCTGGCTGATTATCATTAGTATAGGTTTGAGCTAACGTGCTTAAGTAAAATTACAATAAGTTTTTATTGCCATGCTAAGTGGCATCTTTTCCACATGATGCCTGTGGCAACTAGCATCCTCTCAGGAGGTTTTATTGCTTGACATATGAGATTGTTTAAGAACTGTTCCACTTTATAGCCAGCAGAGGAGCTCTTCTGTCCATGAGTTCTCAAACAGTCAAGGGGAGCAATATTATATGTTGCCTTGGATCTGTCTGAAGCAGTAAAAGCTATGACTTGTTTATAATTATTTGACTACGGAAATGTTCCTGTTACCTCCAACACTGACCTAGAACTCGGTCCTTGAAGCCTTATTTCTTTAATCTTCAATTGATTTCAATTTTTTTTTTTTACTTTGTCTCCTTTTTCAATAATGGCAGATGCATCCAGCTATGATCAGGTTTGTCAGCTTGCAAATGGAGAGTTCAAACACCTCTTCCTCTGAGGTGTTCTAAGATTTTCTTTGGCAAAAACTTTTAGCTAAACAACGTATTTGGCATTCTATGTCCATATAAAAAGGTGGAATTGTGTGAAGGAACTTGCTCAGATGCTTTCCATAGAAGTCCCCTTATATTGTTTGTCTTTGGGGTAGCTGTTTTTGTCGTTTGCTTCCTCTGATACTTGTTCGTGTTTCTTCTGTGTATTACTTAATTTCAATGACTTCTTTGATCCCTATTGAGGCTTATTTGCTATTTTTCAATGAGTTGTAGAATTTTTTATATTCATATAAAATTTTAGTGATTGATAGAAACGGTGGTTGCGGCTGTAGCTGGCCATTATCATCACTATTCTCTGTTAATCATGAATCTCATTCACACCCTAATATCGGGAATTAACAGTGGCGACAGGTGCCAAAACTGCTGCCATTGGTCCTCTGAATCCCTGTTATTGGGAATTATCGGTTCTTCTTATATTGTTTTTTTAAGGGTCTTGATTGTGAAAGGGTTAATTACATATTTAGTACTCTGAATTATAATTTATAAATTTTCAAGTTGATATGTAATTTTAAAAATTTATATCCCTAAACCCGAGTGTTTAATTTTTTTTATTTTTAAATTAAGGTTTCCAGCTTACATTATTAAATTCGAAAAATTTGTAGGTTTAATTGGAACTTTGTTGTATCTAATTACATTCCAGAAGCTACTTTTAAATTTTAATGCATAAATATTGTGAAATTTTTTAAAAATATTTCAGTTTTATTGCTATTATTAATTAAATATTCATAAATTTGTTATTTCATGATTTTTTAAATTGCTAATTGGAAGCCTAATTATTTGCTTTATTTATATATTTGAGATATACATGGAATATTAATAATTGAAACCAAAAGTTGATGATAAGTAAAATTTAAAGTTTAATTCAAATGATTCACCCACTTCAACATAAATTCTCATAAGATTAAGATTTGATTTTAATTACAATTTTTTTCTAATTTTCTTAAATTATGGTCTTTTTTTTTTGTGTACAAATTATAAATTAAACCTTACATTTGCTAGTTTTGTTCCTTGCACTACATTGTTTTGTTGGTTGCACTTTATCAGTGCTATACTTGAGAAAATAATAAGTTTGAGAAAGTGAATTAGAAAGTTAATTTGAATCTATTTTATTTATATATTATAAAAACGAGATGCAAACATTAAATACAAATTAGTAGTTAAGATTTAACAGACTTCAATGCTTGAAATAATATAAGAATATAAGTTTCAAATTCACCATTTGAATCAAATAAATTTATAAAATTAAAAATATTCATGCATGTCATATATATACTTATAGATATATATATATATATATATATATATATATACAACACACATGAATTTATATTAAATTTAAACTTCAACTTTTATTTTTTTTTTATAAATTCAAGTAACGAAACAAAATCTTTTTTTATAAGTTCAATTTCCTATGCCTTCATTTTTGCTTTTTATAATTTTTTTTCCTTTGGTGATCTTAGTTATTTAAAAAAAAATGACATTGATATTTTGGGCAACTGCCTATCCATTAGTATCTAATTTCAAGATTTTAAAATATTTTATTATAATATAATAGTTGTTCATAAAATTAACCAAAAAAAAAAAAGTAGTATAGTATCTATTATTTCATGAAATACCATTTTGGGCTGGGCCGACAGAGGCTTGGACCTAAACAACATTGTCCAAGAGCTTCAAGTTCGAGATTGCCGTTGCTCCCTCCTCTCTGAAACTCAATTGGGGTTTCCCATTAAAAAATCCCTCGTCATTCTTTGCCAGAGTTTCCCTCCAATTCTTCAAAATTTCGAGCTCGGTTAGTTCTCTATTCTTTTTCTTTCTAAATTTATGTATACATAATCACGAATCTCTTCTTTGTGCTTAATACTGAATGTTTAATCGTTTTCTATTCTAAATTAAGGTTTCCATCTATATTGAATTCGAAATGGTTCGTAGGTTACTGTCTTTTTTTTTCCTTTTCTTTTTGTTGCTTTTATATTAAATTCGTGAAGCTATTGTTCAATGCTAATACCTAAATATGGTGAAAATTTGAAAAATATTGCATTTCGTATTTCTGATTTTTAAAATTTCATAAATTTGCTGTTGAAATAGCATCGTAAGTAATGGATTATAGAGGACTAATGATTTTAGAAGTTGATTAATGTAAAAAATTGAGCCTGTATATTTGCTTTATGTATTGAGATTTATACCTAAATTAATGCAACATGGATCGAAACTCGATTGGCAATGGTATATTAATCATTAAACCTTATTATCTATTTGATTTGTTCATTGCTGAATTATAATAAAAAAGGATAATTGTTTTTGCAAATTTGTTTTGCTCTTTTGCTGGAATGTCTTAGTGTATTCCTCCTATTTCTTTATAATTCTCCCTTTTAGTTCAATTTCTCATTTCTTATATTTTGACTTTTTGTTTTTCTTCCTTTTTTCCCTTTTGGTGAATGTATTTTCCCAGATATATAATTAAACGATAAAACTGGCCATTAGTCTTTTTGTGCAATTGTCCATATCTATTATCTAATTTTCAAGAATTTCACTTTGTTGAGCATCTGAATCCTCTTGATTATCATTCAGAACTTTCTTTGCCTGTCTCTGTTACTATTTTTTACTATTTTGTAATTCCCTTTTCCGAGAATCATTCAAGCCGCTACTCCTTTGAAGCCATATTATCTTCATGGCACAGATTCAAACGAACTTCTTATTCTGCAACTCCATTTGGCCTCTCATTATTTCCTCCTTTCCACATTTGTACTCTTTTCTTTTGTCAATGCTTCTGGCTTCTGTGCTTCCTTCACAGTTGCCTTGCAAGCTTGCTTTATTAGATGCATAAAACAAGGGAAGAGAGTGAAGAGTAGGTGGACCTTGATGGAGATAATGAGCCAGAGGAGACTACTGAGGAAGAAGTCGAATATGAAGAAATAGAGGAAGAGGAGGAAGTGGAAGTTGAGGAAGAGGTAGAAGAGGAGGAGGAAGAAGAGGACGAGAATGCTGAGCTTGCTAATGTGCAAAAAGGCTCTGATGGTGATGAGGAGATAAATGATTCTGAGACAGAGGAAGAAAAGAAAAAGAAGCATGCAGAGCTTCTTGCACTTCCTTCTCATGGATCAGAGGTCTACCTGGGTGGCATTCCTCATGATGCTTCTGAAGAGGACTTGAAGAGATTTTGTGAATCTATAGGAGAAGTCACAGAGGTAACATTGCTAATTTCACAATGTCCTGGCTGTGTTTCTTAGTTAAGACTGACTAGATATAAATGTAATGACTACAGGTTAGGATAATGAAAGGAAAAGATTCAGGGAAGCCCAAGGGTTATGCTTTTGTGACCTTCAGATCCAAAGAGTTGGCTTCCAAAGTTATTGAAAAACTGAATAATTTGGAATTCAAGGTGAGAAAGAATGCATTGCTTTTTGCCTCAACAGATTCTAGTAGGGCTTAACATTGTAATATATGCTGTTATTTGTTTGTGTCCAATACAGTTCTTCTCCCTTTTTGCTTCCTATGAGTATATATGTGGATGAATAGTGCCTTCATTTTTTTTTTCAATTATTTGCTCCCTTGGATCTTATTTCTTTTTTCTTGTTTACTCCTTTTGTCTTCATCAGGGGAAGAAGATAAAATTTTCAACATTTCAAGCAAAGAATATGTTGTTCATTGGTAATGTTCCAAGAAACTGGGGGGAGGAAGATATGAAGAAGGTTGTAACAGATGTTGGGCCTGGAGTCAGTTGTATTGAATTGTTGAAGGTTTGTGCATTAGTGCATTTGTCTGTCATTTCCCAATTTAAGAGACTGATCTATTGTAATGTTTCATTACTTATGTGCCAATTTGTATCAGTTATTGATAGCATGTTCTTGGCATGACAGGATCCAATGAACTCTGGCCGAAACTGTGGGTTTGTTTCATTGAGTACTATAATCATGCATGTGCCGAATTATCAAGACAGAAAATGTTGAAGCCAACATTTAAGCTTGATGATAATGCTCCAACTGTGAGTTGGGCTGACCCAAGAAATGCAGAATCTTCTGCTACTACTCAGGTTTTCTAATCTATACTTTGATGTTGGTCTTATTTGGTTGAATGATGTGCGTGGAGAGTTGTCTAGTCCTAATGTTTGACATGGTGCAGGTCAAGGCATTGTATATCAAGAATTTACCAAAAGATATAACTAATGATCGCCTAAAGAAGCTGTTTGAACATCATGGAAAGATCACAAAAGTTGTAGTTCCTCCTGCAAAAGCAGGAAAGGAGGACAGCAGATATGGTTTTGTGCATTTTGTGGGGAGGTCAAGTGCTATGAAAGCATTGAAGAACACTGAAAAATATGAGATTGATGGTGGGATATGCTCCTTGTACCTTACAGCTGTTATCAACTTCCTGTATTTTCCATGGAGATAAAAGGGATTATTGATGATATTTTGTCGGATTTTTTCTTATTGACAGGTCAAGTATTGGAGTGTTCCCTTGCCAAACCACAAGCTGATCAAAAGTCTTCTGGAGCATCCGGCTTCCAGAAGTCAACCTTAAATTCAAGCTTCCCACCTCCTCTAGGATATGGCTTAGTTGGGGGAGCATTTGATGGTCTTGGACAGGTGAGATGCTTTGTTCACTTTGTCCTCTAGACTTCAGCTTTTATATGCTCATTGGTTATTGTTTCGGTGGAGATAGTTGGGAAAGAAAATAGTTTGACAGATTTTTTGAGGGAAACAATTTGAATGCTGCCAAATGTGGGACCTGCAAGATTTGCTCTTGTTTTGAGAGGTTTCAGACCTCTATAGATTGAATTTGGGTTCTGGTAAACCAGACATTCCCTTTATGATGAGATGAAATAATCTTTGATTTGTGGACAAGATGACTTGGTGATTAATCTAAAATCGACACATACTTCTGTTTTTTTTAATCTGTAGAGTGGGCACTGGTTTTATCCAGCTACTTCTCTCTTACTCCTTCAAGAATGTAAAGAAACGTTGCACTTAATAAAGAGTAAAAAGACCATCATTGTTTCATACATTAGAATTTCCTTTATTATAATAAGTTAACAGATATCCTATGATAAACAATATTTATGTGAGATGACATTATTTGTAATTTATTAACAGCAAGACATAGATTGTCAATAGTTCTCAATATAATTTGTCACTATTAATTTATCTTTCAAAGGCATATGCTTAAAGAGGCCTGAGTTTTGGAAGGTTCTACTGTGTATACCTCATTATTTGTTTATTTT